GATTTAGTTCTTCAACGACTTTCAGAGAAATCCTGTCCGTTCCATCTCATTAAAGGGATTTCGGGCTCCGGTCAACAACATGGAAGTGTTTATTGGAGTCAAAATGGTGAGGAGGTATTGGGAGCTTTGGAGAAGGAAAAGACTTTGCTCGAACAGTTAAAGGAAACGTTTGCGCATCCGTGGAGTCCGAACTGGCAGGATGCGAGCACGCAGGAGGAATGCGATGCTTTTGATAGGGAATTGGGGAGTGAAGAGAAATTGGCCGAGGTTACGGGGAGCAAAGCTCATCATGTTCGTTCTCCTCTGTTATTTTGTGCAGGGATATGGCAAGGCATAATTCCTTGACTAACAATATTGACAGCGATTCACGGGACCACAAATCATGCGTTTTCATAAAAAGTATCCAGAGGTGTACAGACGTACTTCTCGTATAACACTCGTCTCATCATTCCTAGCATCTCTATTCCTTGGTAAAATTGCTCCTTTTGACATCAGCGATGTCTGTGGTATGGATCTCTGGGACATCAAATCTGGATCCTGGAGCGAGCCCCTTCTTACCCTTGCAGCCGGCTCCGATGGTCTCGCATCTCTAAAATCCAAACTTGGAGAGGTACGAGAAGATGGCGGTGGAAGTATGGGTTCCATATCCTCATATTTCACATCTCGCTATAACTTCCCCGCCGATTGTGCAATTGTCCCCTTCACCGGCGATAATCCCGCCACAATTCTAGCACTACCTCTACGCCCTATGGACGCCATCGTGTCTCTTGGAACATCCACAACTTTCCTCATGTCAACACCCAACTACGTACCAGACCCTGCTTACCACTTCTTTAATCACCCTACCACAGCCGGCCTCTACATGTTCATGCTCTGCTACAAAAACGGTGGACTGGCCCGCGAGAAAATCAGAGATGCACTCCCCGCCTCTACAACCTCAGACCCCTGGTCCAACTTCAACAAAGCCGCCACAGAAACTCCACCTCTAGCCCAAAAATCCCCATCCGATCCCGCAAAATTAGCCCTCTACTTCCCCCTCCCAGAAATCGTCCCAAATATCCGCGCCGGTACTTTCCGCTACGAATCTTCATCAGAAGACACTCTAAACGAAACTCAAACATCGTATGATCCCGAAACTGATGCTCGAATTATCGTAGAATCACAAATCTTATCTCTACGTCTTCGTTCGCAGAAATTGGTCACGTCTCCTTCTAAGGATATACCAGCTCAACCTCGTCGTATTTATCTTGTTGGAGGTGGATCGCTTAATCCAGCGATTGCGAAGATTGTGGGTGAGGTTTTGGGGGGCGTGGAAGGTGTGTGGAGATTGGATGTTGGTGGGAATGCGTGTGCATTGGGTGGTGCTTATAAAGCTGTTTGGGGTGTTGAGCGCAGCGGAAAAGAAGGGGGGAAGATTGAGACTGGAAATGATGTTAAATGGGAGGGAGAAAGTTTTGAGGAATTGATAGGGAGGAGGTGGAAGGAAGAAGGCGCTATTGAGAAGGTGGATGAGGGGTATAGACCTGAGGTTTGGGAGAAATATGGAAGTGTTCTAGGCGCATTTGCGGAGATGGAAAAGACGGTTTTGGAGGGTGAGGAAAGATTTAGGAAGTAAGGTGGATATGTACCTAGGTAGATATATATGTTCGTAGTAATGTTTTAAAAGATGAGATAAGACCAAAATGTCCTATTATGGAGCCGGAATGAAAGTGTGATAAATATCTATACCTTCATCCAAAAACTCACCGTCACGGCCGTCTCTGAATCTCGCCTCCTAGAAAGCTGAGTTCTCTTGGTTATTGGTAGGTAGATTAGATCATGTTGTGATTGTACGAAATTCAGATCTGCGGCTGAAGTTTGTGGTTGTGGTTGTGAATTTTGATATCTGTATTAGTACCTAGGTATTACAACTTACTTTTTGTGTCGGATAATGGGCCCCGGGTTGATGGTGATGGTGATGGTGAGTGCGATTTAATGTAATGTATGGAATTAGGGGTTCTTGTTGGATATCTGGATTTTTTGTAGATATAGGTTTGCTGATACTATTATATATACTGACTGTATCAGGAATATGGAAAGGGAAGAGTGGTAAGGTTAGGGTGAGGGTGAGGGAATATTGTATATAATCAAGGTTATTCATTGGTGGTGCTAGGAAGTCTATCTGAGTGGCCACTGGCTATACTGTACCGATCTGAATTCGAGATGTGCGACAAACTTTCCATAAGGTATTTAGATCTAAGTCTTCACTGACAGATATATTCTCATTAAACAATTATAATTACATTCTATACTAGCAAATCTTTACAATTAATAATACACATCCCTCAAAACAAGAAGTCAAGACACATAGATCATCCATCCATCCATCCATCTGCAGAGACACCGGCCGGTAGAGCTATTGAGTAGCTGCAGGTAAAATGCTGGGAGTAATATAAACAAGCAACGAATCTTTTCCAGCAACATGTTCGTGGTTGTGTTTATTTAGTTTACCAAATCCGGCTCTGGCTATTTAGATCTGTGGACGAGAAGAGTCCTAGGTGGAGAATATATGAGTTTTAGATAGAGAGAGATGGGTAAGAAGGGTGAGGTGAGGAATTTTTTATTTGATTTATTTAGTCGGTTTGAGATTAGTTGATTCCTTGTTATAATTTGTATGGTAATCTAGATGGTGTAGCTGCTCGAAGAAGATTATTGATATATATCTAGGCAAACATAATAATAGTTGAATATTTCTGGAAGATTGGATAGCTGCTTACGGGGATATCAGGTCATGTCTGATTCTTCAAGATAAGTTGTGCTTCGGAATCATCAACCTAGAACTTAGAGAAAGGATGAGCTACTAACTATGTCGAATTAGCCAAGCGCTTGGGATAGAGTTTCTCACAGCTGTTTCTGATGTTGATATGATGTTGACTGGAGAACATATCTAAAAATGAGTATGTATGTAGACAAGTAGTCAGTCACTTTGTAGATGGCAACGATAGTTTTATTTCTATTATTAATTTGAGTAGGAATAGTCAGGACTTTTAACTAAAATTCCCTGATAAAAGTTATTGAACTGAGATTTCTTAAATAGAAACTATTTAATAATCAAAATATAATCAGAACTATACAAAATTCTCGCTTCTCTTAAACTAAACAAGAATTATAATTAAATACTATCTTTCTCACACTTATAATATTCTATTTAGACTAATATCGCTTTTTTTATTTCCAAGAAAAGAAAAAAAATGTCTACTTCATAATTCATCCCCATTCCATTCACAAGAAGCTACACTGTAACTATACCTGATTACACGATGAATTCAAGCAACCTTGTAGAGCAACCAATGTGTATTGGACAAGTAGTGCTAGATCTCCTATTTGAATAATAAATATCAACTCAGCAAAAATTATAATGAATTTCCTGCAATGCCTTCTCGTTATTACTTTGAACCAGCATGGTACTGAGCTGAGCCAATGAGATACCAGCGCGACTTCGAGGATGAGGGCTAGGAAAATGTAGTTATTCAAGTTAACTTGCACTGTATCTATCAAAGCTGTTAACCTGTCTTATTCCATAGATTAATAGGAATACAGCAGGATCTACAAGATTTAATACCTGCTCGTCCCTACCTCCTCGATCAAGAGAGGCCAGGATAAAATCTCTAATCTCCTTTCCCAAAGATTCCGGAATCAACCTATCGGATATGCACAAACAAAATCTTCTCTCCAGCACCTTCACAAAACTCCCCCGTTGAACTCACAGCCTTACCATCCCTCTCACCCGTACACACTCCCAAGCCTTTTCACTCACCCAAAAGTACTTGAAATCCTTCTTCTCACCAGCACGCAATAACCAAAGTCAAATATTTTAATATACCAGCCCAACTTCTAAAGTTTCGAAAATAATCAACGTCACCAGCTGAACTAGAGCGAGCCTAACCCCATGCTACCACGACGTGGATATATTGTCAATCCTTATACCATGCGTAAAATATCATGAGTATAAAAGCGAGGATTCAATGTAGAGACTGTCGGAGCTGGAGCCGGGATGATGAGGGTCCTAACCGCTTCTATATATTGTGGTTGAGACTGATGTGGATTGATATGATGTGCTTCCATATGTACGGATATGCGAATGAAGCGAGGAGAGAAATGGTATCTGAATGCTGAGAGTTCCTGTCATACTTTAAGAGTTGCATTATTGTTGGTGATGAATTCATTCAATATCGCGCTGGAGATGGTATATATGGATGAGTTCGTGATTAGTTACAAAATTGGAGGTATATTTGGTATTTTTGCTTATGTCAAAGTCATTCACTGGCAATAGTAAATTTTGATTATGAATTTCTTTACTTGTTACAATCGGAGCATATATTGATTGATTGATTAAATTAACGTCTACACTGAGTCTATGACTATCTAAGACGGCTAGGAGCTTTGTAGGCTTCTAACAATAGTAAATGGAGGGTGGCTGGCCTTATTCGACCGTAGCTAATACAGGTTGGGGAGATTGAAAGCCTCAATCTTCTAATGTTTGAATGGGGGAAGTGAAAACTAATACTAGGGAACCAAGCCCGCCTATCGGAGCATATATCTCGACTGTATGAAATCCTGTTGTGTTTCATCAGACGATAGGTGTTCAGTTTTCGAATGCTTTCGAATATTTGGCTTTGTCATGAGTAAATTAGCACGATAGCTGATTCAACATTTAATATGAAACGGGATTCTAGATCCTGTTATATAGGATGAATAACTGCCTCGGCAGTTAAATATATTATCACCTATTAGATAGAGAATAGAAATTCCAGTTTCTACATATCTCTCATATCGAAATGAAAACTGTTCCACACGAAACTCGAAGTCGGGACTTTTTCGCTAGATATATTGATGTCATGATCAATGCCTGATCGATATCTCAGAAAGCTAGTGATCAGAAGCCGAACTTTCCAAGCGAGAAAAGAGGAGTTGATACTGAATTCGCTCATCTAGACATGTGATAGCTACTTCCATATTCAGAGTGAAACCGAATATTTGATCCATACTCTGTCAACATATTGAATTAATATTCGATATCGAACTTGAACGTGGTTATTCATAACGCAACTAGGGATTTCAATTGATCACTCAAAGCGATGACAAACCAAAACGTTAAGACTGACCGAGGTCAAGGAAACTATTCATAGGACTAGAATAGCCTGTCGTGTAACGGACAACGTTTGTTTGTGTGTGTGACATGGGAGCGCTGGCCCTCTTGTGTGTAACCGCTGGTGTTTATGCGGAACGACGTACTACACTGTGTAACAACGCTGCAGCATGATTTTTTTTCATCATTTCGATGGCAGGTATACTATTTCCCTGGCTCAAACCATCACGTTCTTACCACAGCACAACTCCAGGAAGTTCAGTCGCACTATACCCATTCCATAAAACCACCTATCAAATAGCAGCAGGCTGGCGCTTTACCTCCCACATCACTTTTGAAGAAATTTTCATTGCCCAAATGAAATCCTTGAATCAAGACAGACAAATCAATTGATTTAGATAATGCATGCGGGACCGGGGAGTCACTTCCATATTTTCCGGGAACCAGGTAATGCACAGAGACTAATCTGGAGTTGACTTCCGAGAAATGTACGGGTGTGAAAGCGGAAATTGTTGACCTGATGGCATGAGGACGGGGGCAAGTGTGGATCGCTGTCGGCTTCGGCATTGAGGTCTGCTAGCAAGGTGTGAAGACAATTCACCGTATAGGTTTTGAGATGAATGCAACAACCACCCTACTCAAATGCCAACATAGCGACTAAATGGGCAATGAATGGGATACGAAGTTGGGAGATTACTTACCATTAAATCAGATACTTTGTAGGAACATATAAGAAATTGCTTGCTGCGTCCATTTGACTGATGAACTGATGAAGGAAATTCTTCAAATGAAATGAAAGACATGGGGAAGCTCACATTGGCCCCGCAATAGCTCCCCGATGTCATGCAATCAGAGGTTCGCCAAAGAGCATCTATTACCAGAGTTCATTGAGGGCCCATAGCCGAATTTGCATTAGATTGCATTTGATTGCATTTTATCTTCATTCTAGCGGTAGGGATACCCTAATTGCCTGCAACTTTCGGCCACGCGGGCGTGATCTCCTGTGCGTGACTTTGGCTCCGCCGTGGAGACTCTCGTTGCATGAACATGGATACTTCCGTGATATCTATGAATAATCACACTTTGTACTTCAGCCAGAAGACGGAATGTGAAGACGAGTACATTTCCTTGGGATTTGAGAAATGAAATGAAAGCGGCCAGTCGACCGGAATTCACACCTCATAAACTTCCAAGGTTACTTCCAAGGAATCACAAGACTGGCGCGTGTATCGTAACATCTCCTTGAATGCCGACTAATGGTTCACCAATTGAAATAAAAGTCCGAGTCGTTACCCCGTTCAACCGACTTCCAGCAACGTTTCAGATGTCAACAAACGAGATTTAATACTTCATGGGAGGGTCAATTCATTTCAACTCTCTTATCAACCGAAGGCTTTTCCCTTTTCTGATAAGATGATTCGGCGATGCAATCTTTAACGTTGAGGGAGGGTACTCCCGCCTTGGAAGAGTGCCGAGCATGACTGGTATGACACAGGCCTGAGCCAAATTGCAGAGGAGCCAGGTATTGATCAAAGTGGCTAAGAGAGATAATAAAAATGGGTACGCCGCCATCGGAAAATCCAATGATTGGATATCGGTTAGGTGAAGATGAAGGGGTGTATGAATATCGGTGGCTGGGGAACCATTTTATTGTAAACAACAGATACTCGAGTAGAATCATGGAAAAGCATACTTCGTACTCGTAGATGATGGAAGTGAAGTTAAAAAGATGTGAAAAGAGGGCAATCGGTTGGTGGTAGTAGGTAGGCAAGTCAAGTCCAATTTCTAGTCTCCTAGAGCTAGACAATGTACAATTCTACAACAACCAACGACATCAATATATCATATACCAATAATCTCTTCATCTCTACATATTGATTACCTCTCACCTATCTTTATATACCGGTACTCTATACCTCAAACTACTCAAAGCCATTCCCATTATCACGAATTCTCCACTTAGGACGAACTATAATAATTGTGAAAACCTTACCCTCCCTTCAATAATCACGCGGAACTCGGGAAAGCAGGAACTTGCCAAAACAAAACGTGTTGCTTACTATGTAGAGAGATGTACTCCGTACGCAGGTTGAATAAGTATAAGAAGCTTCTAGAAACGGGCAAATGGCCAAACAGCCAACAGCTCAACAGCTGAACAACTCAACCGCCTAAACGCTAAAATGCCAAACAATATGATAGATGCATCCACGCATCATAAAAGAATATGTGTTCCTCTCACAAAATTGAGATGGCTGAGCAACAGAGGGAAAGAGTGAAAGAGCAGAGGATATTCGGGCACAGCATCAAAAAGTTTACTCTCGCTCCGCACTTCAATAGGTAGACATGGCAGCACGGACGAATAATTTGAAAGGCTTCAAGGGACCACAAAAAATCTATTGGAAGTTGATGCCCTGCAAAGAAGATCTGGATACCACTAAAGAGAGAAGGAGGAGTTAAATGGTTAACAAAGTTTTGATGAGCTTACTGATTTGGTTGATTTGATTTGATTGACTGATTTGGATTTGGACTTGGATTTAGATTTCTTATAATATTCATACGAATACCACAATAACCACAATAACAATAACCTGACCACCAATACTACGACGTCCCATATCCAAGAGGTTCAAAGTTATTGTTTCTCCCCATCCCCCCCATCTCGATTTCCAAATCTTCGATAGCATCATCGCTCTTCTCATTTTAAACATAATTTTGGCACTTCTCAATCAATATCTTGATCTTGGTTTTGATTTCTCTTCTCTCATCGTATACTCCTTCTCTTCCACTCATCAATTATACCACACACCACCCTTTGATGCCTCCAAATACCACATAAGGATCAAGGACAAGGAGAGAAGGCTGGACAAGAAAAAGATAAGGAAAGAAAAGAAAAACAGACGGCAATTGCAAAAGGAAGGAAAAGCCAAAAGAATATCAGAAAAAGTAAACAATCCCGATTTCTTGAATATTTCAGCCCTCCAACCTTTCAACCTTTCAACTTTCCCATTCTTTTTTATATTCCTTCCATCCATCTCCTCTCCATTCTTATCAAAACGGAGTCCGAAGTGTTAAATGTTGTGTTGTTTGTATCCCACATCAAAATGGAGCTCCAATTGAATATATTCTAAGAGGTTCTATAGGATTCTAGCTACGGGGAAAAAAAATCTCACATTCACCCAACACAAAATTTAGGGCTCTCACAACCACTATAAGCCATTAAAAATCATCGTCATTTTCAGTGTCCAACCACAATCGCTTGCCAGTCCGGCTACACGCAGCTACCGTCATCCCAGTGGGATTTATTATTCATTCTCAATGTCATTTAACCTCTTTTCGAAAACACCCAGAAAAGCAAAGAAACCTGAAGATAACGAGGAGGGCATTCAAATTGATTCGCCTCGGTCACGATCTCCACTAAAGAAGTCTTACTCGAGATCCAGTAAAAGTAAGGAAGAGGAACATATTAAATCGGAAGAAAAACAACACTCCGGCCAAACAAAATCTAGCCGTATTCGACGAAAGTCAAGTGCTTATCCATCGCAAAATTCTTTCGACCCAAATACTACTCATCCTTTAAATCTTCCGCCAGATCAATTGCGCAGGCTATCTACTCAAGTTAGGATGTCGGAACCTATGGATATTGACGTTGAGTCTTCCACCAGCCCTCGCAATCCTTCTCCACCACCCGCCACAAGTTCACAGTCAAACACTCAGCCAAGCACACCAAAGCCTGCAGAGCCTGCTCCCAAGCCTTCCTCAAAGTCTGCTCCCAAGCCAGTACCGCATCCAAGTGCACCCAATGGCCAGAGTGCCACAGCTAATGGAGAGGGACCACCTCCTCCCCCACCAGCTCATAAATCAAACCCAACCAGTCCTCAAGCTGTAGCACAACCAACTCTGGAAGATGCAGAAATATTCAAAGATGCGGGAAACAGATATTACAAGGCTAAGCAGTATAAGAAGGCCATTGAAGAATACACCAAGGGTTCGTGCCTTCGAAAGGCTTTCATAAGTGACAACCGCTGATCTTTAAACTATTTGTAGCCGTCGACGCGATGCCATTATCATCCACTTATATCAACAATCGCGCCGCTGCTTATATGGCTGCTGGTCAATATTACCAGGCTTTAGAAGATTCCAAGCGAGCTGATCAACTTGATCCCAACAACCACAAAGTACTTCTTCGTCTAGCTCGAATCTACATCAGCATGGGATTACCACAAGAGGCTATGGACACCTTCGGCCGTATACAACCACCTCCTTCTGCAAAAGATATGGCTCCGGCTAAAGCTATGCTGCAACACCTTGCATCTGCAGCAGAAGCACTCAAGAACGGGACCGGATCAATGGCGATACATTCGATCGAGCAGGCAGAAAAATTACTTGGGACAGGCGTACCCAGGCCACGCAAATGGCAATTGATGCGTGGTGAGGCTTATCTAAAAATGGGCAACGTTAATGCTTTGGGAGACGCACAAAATGTCGCTATGTCTTTGTTGCGCGGCAACAGCCAGGATCCTGAGGCGCTTGTCTTGAGAGGCAGAGCTCTATACTCCCAAGGCGAGAACGATAAGGCCATACAGCATTTCCGCCAAGCTTTGACATGCGATCCTGATTATAGAGACGCAGTCAAGTATTTGAGACTGGTCAGGAAGGTTGATCAGCTGAAATCGGAAGGAAATGCAGAGTTCAAGGCTGGGCGGTACCCAGATGCTATTGCAAAGTACAGTGAAGCTCTTGGACTCGACCCTACCAATAGAGGAACCAATTCCAAATTGCTGCAAAATCGTGCTTTGTGCAAATCTCGCCTTAAGGATTACGCGGCCGCCATTGAGGATTGCGACCTAGCTCTTCAACTTGACCCTTCATACACGAAGGCCAAGAAGACAAAGGCCACTGCTCTTGGTGAATCTGGCCAGTGGGAGGATGCTGTGCGCGAGCTTAAGCAGATACAAGAACAGGACCCATCGGACGCTAGCATTGCTAGGGAGGTGCGAAGAGCTGAACTGGAGTTGAAGAAGAGCAAGAGAAAGGATTACTACAAGATCCTTGGCGTGGAGAAAGACGCGGATGACAATCAGATCAAGAAGGCTTACAGAAAAGCTGCCATCATCCATCATCCAGACAAGAATAGGGATGATCCACATGCCGAGGAGCGATTCAAGGACATTGGAGAAGCCTATGAAACCTTGAGTGACTCTCAGTAAGTTTAACCTATTTTTATATCACCACCTACAGAAACTAACAAAATACATCAGGAAACGTGCACGATACGACAGTGGTGTAGACTTGGAGGACCCAATGGATGGTTTCGGAGGTGGTGGCATGGGAGGGGGAGGGGGAATGAACATTGATCCTGGTTAGTCTACATTTTCGAATGATCAATCTCACACTGCTAATATCTTCAATAGAAATCCTCATGCAGATGTTTGGGGCCCAGATGGGTGGTGGTATGGGTGGAGGCCGGGGAGGTGGAGGAGGCTTCCACAGCTTTGGCGGAGGTATGCCTCAAGGAGGTCGGTCTCGAGGCGCTCCTCAAGGCTTCCCCGGTGGATATTCGTTTCAGTGACAAGATAAAGATCAGAATCAGGATACCAAACAAGATCAATCCACCCCTCAGGACAGTTCAAGGAGTTCGCGTCAAAATTCTGATTTCACAAAAGCTCAAGATATCGACGAGACATGGTGGCTACGTAAAGCATGGATGGGTTTCCTTTTGGCGGGCGTTCTTATTCCTCTTGATCTCTTGGCCCTTCTAGCTTTTTTAATGGCCGGAGTGTACATTTGCATCAGAATTACCATGTATGTGCGTCGTTTTTACGACGCCTCATAGAACTTGGGGGGGACTAGATCTCATTGCAGGCGTTTGTCGTGGTTTTCCATTTTTGTTTGAAGCTTTGAAAGCATGATGAAAGGATAACCACATACATACTGGCCAGATTTTGAAACAGCATCAAAAAATTTGAGAGGGATAATGTGGTGGTACATGAGGAATCGAAATGTACATGTCTGATGGTATTTATCACAATGGCATATGATTTCTTTTACTGCCTTGAGCTAAATAGACTATTAATGAACATAGTTTGAACATTCATTTTGGTGTTAACTGTGAATAAAATACAATTATTAATTCTACGCTGGTATTGAATCATGATCAATGCTCCAAATATTTCAGATCTTTTCCCCCAGAAACAGTACTCAACAGGTAGCACACGAGCATTTAAACCACGGGCTGAGTCCGGATAAAATAGGGGCCGTCTCTCACGTGTCAATTTCCCATCTACCCAAGAGGCTGTAATTCAACCTTGCCTTGCTCTTCAGATTTGTTGGTGGGGCAGAATAGTTTCACAGAACCACTTTCAGTAGAACTTTTCCACCATCGTATCGCAATACTGGCATTTAAAATTATTTTCAAGAGTCGGGCTACAAACTCAAGAACCAGATAGGATTCACCACACAAACTTATAATCGTGCACCGAGTCTTTTTTTCTATTGCAAGCTTCGTCTCGTCCCCAACCATCCAACGAATAAATTTAAAAAAAATTACCATGACTCGATAGCGGAGTCTTGAAGAATGCTACAGATGTACATGCGCTTTACTTTCCAATAATTGTGGATCATTTGAACTTCCTATACCTTTCTGCCTGCTGTAACCTCAAGCTTCACTTCTTGGGAATACAGCAGTTATGGACGCCCAGGTATGTTCTTGATACACCGCTTCCTGGAGGTTCTGCGCTGGCGGGGGCAACACTTGAGGATGGAAGTTCTGATGCATGGGATGAAACATTTGTACTGATCTACCATTCATTTTCTAGATTGAGAAAGCAATCGAAATCGCATGGGACCCTCGATCTGACCAGAATCTAAAAGAGCAAGCAGTTCAATATCTCACCCAAGTACGCGGCGACAGCTCGAGTCTACAGGCATGCCTTAACCTCTTTACCAGAGATCCCAAAGCTGCCGAAGTCGTGAGATTGGTCTCGTTGGATATAGTCAACAATGCGATTCAAACTCAACATATAGACGATCAAAGCTTGCGTGGGCTCAAGGAACAACTTCATGACTATGTCAGGAGAACATATGCTTCTGGAAACGAAGTCGATCCTCCCGCTTTACAAAATAAGCTCACACAAACCTTGACATTCCTGTTCTCGTCATTATACAAGGAGGGCTGGGAAAGTTTCATAAGGGATTTCTTGAGCTTCACTGGCCATCAAAACGGGACTGTTGATAACCTCCCTGGAGTTGTATTATATCTGCGACTTCTCAGTTCGATCCATGACGAGATTGCCGATTTGATGATAGTTAGGGCAGGAGGCGAGACAAAGCGAAATGTTGAGTTGAAGGATCTTGTGCGTGCTCGAGATGTACAAATAGTAGCAGGCTCTTTCCAACATATCCTCACATACTGGCAAGGCAACAACGATGCTATTGTTGAAATGACGTTAAAGGTTATCGGAAAATGGGTCTCCTGGATCGATATCTCTTTGGTCGTGAACCAGGATATTTTGAACTTGTTATTCCCATTGGTTGGACGAAACCCCAACGGTGGTGAGGACAAAGTTAAGGATGCCGCCATCGACTGCTTTACAGAGATTGTGGCAAAGAAAATGAAACCTTCAGATAAGATAGGAATGATTTTGTTCTTGAACCTTGGAGAGGTTGTCTCGCAACTTATTGCGAGCCCCGCCTTACATGATTTACGGAACACTTCTAGTTATGACACCGATCTTGCAGAAGCGGTTGCAAAACTTGTCAACAATGTTGTCTCCGATCTCGTTAAAATCCTTGAAGATACTAAAGTCGAACCCGAAGTACGGGCGCAAGCAGAGCAATCGTTGCAAACTTTCCTTCCACTCCTACTCAGATTCTTCTCGGATGAATACGACGAGATATGCGCAACTGTTATACCATCCCTTACAGAGCTCAACACGTTTTTGCGCAAAGCACAGCCATTGCCACCCGCATATTCAGCCATGTTGACACCTATACTCAATGCAATAATTCAGAAAATGAGATACGACGATACTTCTTCCTATGCCGATGAGGATGAATTAACAGATGAGGCGGAATTTCAAGAGCTTCGAAAACGATTACAGGTCCTTCAAAAGACTATCGCTGCAGTTGACGAAGCTTTATATGTTGATGTTTTGAGTAATGTGATCGGAAATACGTTCCAGAGACTTGATCAACAAAATGGTCAAATTGACTGGCGTGATCTAGACCTTGCACTACACGAGATGTACCTTTTTGGAGAACTTACACTCGTAAACGGCGGTCTTTATGCCAAGAGCCAGCCATCTAGTATAGCAGCTGAACGTTTGATCGTCATGATGTCCAAAATGGTCGAATCTGGTAAGATTTTTCAGGGCACCTTTATAAGAAAAGCGACTAATAGTGCACAGGCATTGCTTCGTTCAATCATCCCGCCATTTCCCTCCAGTATATGGAAATTTGCGTCCGATACTGTTCATTTTTCGAAAACCAAACCCAATATATTCCCCAGGTCCTCGAACAATTCGTTGGTTTTGTGCACCATAATCATTCACGAGTCAGGATACGTTCGTGGTATCTATTCCACCGATTCGTGAAACACTTGAGAGGTCAAGTTGGTAACGTTGCGGAGACTATCATCCAGTCGATCAGTGATCTCCTTCCTTTAAAGGCAGAAGTCCCTAAGGAAAGTGACGATGATATGTCATCAGAAGACGGCAGTCATGACGCGGCAGACGTAGCATTTAATGCTCAACTTAATCTTTATGAGGCGATCGGTTGCATTTCTTCTACAACTTCGACTCCGATAGAGAAGCAGGCTATTTATGCAAGGACAATCATGAATCCTTTATTCTCCGATGTTCAGCGACATTTAGAGCAAGCCAAGTCAGGCAATGCACAGGCTGTTCTGCAAATTCATCACATTATTTTTGCCCTCGGATCATTAGCCCATGGATTTTCTGACTGGTCTCCCGGAGAAGGGAAACGGGCTGGACAAGCACCTGCAAAGGAAATAACTATTGAATTCAGCCGCGCCGCGGAAGCAATTTTGTTTGCACTTGAGGCACTTAAATCTTCTTCTGAAATCCGTAATGCAGCAAGATCTTCATTCTCTAGACTTATGGGAGTCATGGGAGTTGCCATGTTACCCCTCCTTCCAAGGTGGATCGATGGCTTGTTGACACAAAGTTCTTCGAAAGAAGAAATAGGCATGTTTTTACGATTATTGGATCAAGTGGTGTTTGGATTCAAAAAGGATATCCATGAAGTTCTAAACTCCCTTCTCACACCGCTTTTCCAGCGAGTTTTTGCTAGCTTAAGTGAGCCAGTCACTGGAACAGATGATGGAATTCAACTCGCGGAACTACGAAGGGAATACTTGTCCTTTGTAACGGTTATCCTAAATAATGAGCTCGGTTCTGTACTCGTCAGTGAGCAGAACCAAGCTTTCTTTGACCCTCTCGTTCAGTCAGTTACAACATTGGCGAAAACCGTCACAAATGAAACTGGAAATCTTGCGGCCAGCAAAATCGCCTTTAGTGTAATGACAAAGATGGCAGAGCTCTGGGGTGGCCCAACAATCGCTACCCCCGGCCAACCTATCACCTCATCTGTCCAGCCGCAACCCACATTTCCCGGATTTGATACCTTTCTAATCGAACGTTTCCACCCAGTTTGTTGGGAGGTTCTTCGCGAGCCACACTTCAGACCGATGGTTGATGCGCAGTCCAAGAGCGTTTTGAATGAATTAGCGGGGTTGGAACATGTTATTTATATGAAGACGGGAAATATGTTTGTGGAGCATTTACAAGGAAATTTCTTTCCAAGTATGGGTGTCGATGGTAGCGGATTTATTAAGAGTATGGTGGAGAGTCCAGAAAGGAAAGGGCTGGCGACATTTTTGCAGAATTGGCTAAAAGGAAGGGCTTAAGGTAGTACGTTCACTGCGCGAGGGCCAGGAGCGATGAATGCAATAGGACATTGAGGTTTCGTTGACATCGAGGTTGAGTTAGGGATTTATTGAATTTTAGACGGAACGAAGGATGGAGAGGAATCATTGCATTTTCTTATGGCGTTGGACTGGATCATTATATCATGGCTGGCCGGTGATTGAAACGAAACTTAAAACTATACCACGAATGGACATGCAATCTTTGGAGATGGAAGCAATGAATATCATAATCTCTTCAATCGAACTTTAGGTTGAAACAATGCCTTGGAAGAGGGTGTAGCCCGACCTGAACTTGTTGCTTAAGTTCCAAATTCGGTGGATGGAATGAAGGGACTGCTTATTCTTCCTTGGGAAGATTCAATAAACGAACGATTTTTGAAAAGAAAAAAGTAAAATCAATATATTCATATGCAGATATGCAATCGTATACGAGATTCTGTGGGAGAATGAGTTGAGAATTGGATGGTACAGGGTTGTATGATTCGATGATGAGGTATGTAGTGGGAAGAAATATGATGGGCTGGAAATGAGAAAGTGAAAGAGAAATCGAAGGTGGAGGAGGAAGAAATGGCGACTAGGTAGGATGGATATTAAAGGGAGAATAAAGTGATATTTGAGTGTATTAGTGGATTAGATGTTTAGATTTGATTGATGTAATCATTGGTTAAGCTAGGCTGTTATTGTTCTACCAAGGTATTTTATTTAATCGATTTCGTCGCTGACTTCGTCCTGTACTGTATTGTATGTGTTTTATTTTGTTTATTTGATTTGGTTTGGTGATATTCTGATCTTGTAGTTGGTGTATTTCTTGATGTTTACTTTTTGATTTTTAGTTATCTTGAGAGTGGTTGGAAGAGTGTATGATTAGAGGGTTGTAGGATTGGGGGGACGGGGGGATAGAGAGTAAGGCTCATGCATATGAGTTTGTATAATTAGGTATCTTCGAAATTAATATGAGTTGGGTAATTCAAATTCAAATTCAAAGTCAAAGTCAGCTAGCTGTCTCTTGTCACTTGTCTTGCGCATAGTAAGATCTTAATATTCATGGAATAATCATCGAGTAATTATTTTACTCTACAGAGTAAATAGTGAGCGATAACCTTAATCTCACATCTCTATCTCCACAATATATCATCCATCCATCCATCCTATCTAATCTGATCTGTTGACGTTTGCACTAAAGCTAACAAGACCCTGGACCTACATAACTTAATTACTGCATCATTCGCAATTGAAGAATGCTAATGTTACGGGATCAGATATCAGATGGGGGAAATCTGACTCGGGTGCTTTTTGGCGATCGATGAGATATATATTTTGCAATCATTTTCTCGAGGAGGGAGTGCTGGAGTTGGTTTGTTTGTTTGTTCGTTCGTTCTTTCGTTTGCTTTGGGGTTAGTGAGATTGATTTAGCGCGGGGTATGAGTGAGGAAGTGAGGAAGTTAGAGGGATATCTTTTATTATGGCTATGTATTTCGTACAAGGTAGGGTATCAGAAATACAGGTACCCGGGAGTGAAGGATAGGTGAGCTTGGCTCTGGGAAGGCAAGCCAAAATGCATGATACGAATATGCTGAAGTAAAAGGCACCATTAAGCCCAAGAAGGGTTAGAAAAGACCAACAGACAAAGTTTTCGGTGTTTGCGGTGAAAATTCGCATCAGTTGCAGAATGACAGATGCCTTTGCAGCAAACATTGCTAGGGCATAGATTGTCTCGAGAATGTTAGACAGCTGTAGTCATTAATCCGTAAGGACTAATTATAAGGAATAAGGTAAAGGCCTGCAAGTATAACATTAATCAACCCCGTTACGGAGATATCCAATGATGGCTTCTTTGAACCGCCTCTCGCACGGCAAGCATCACTCCACAGAAAGAAGCGAAACCAAACTGAATTCGCAATTAATCAATATCCCCGGCAATATAGGAGAGAAAGTTAAGGAATTCTGGGATTATGCATACCCCGGCAAATATCATGAAGTCTACTGTTGTTAGATAGTGTTAAAGCATTGAGTTTGACTCGATACTCACAATCCTCAAGGCACATGAAAAGGTATGCCTTGGTGAGACTCCGAATAGAGATGCATACTGTTATAAGTGTCAAACAAACGACGCTGGTAACCATCAGGTTTGGCTGGCCGATATATGGATCAACGAGATTAGGCGGTATGCCTACTGAAGGCTTCAATGCTCGCCTGGTGTTTGGATCCATCGTAATAGAGATAAAGCGATGAGAACGATGTGCGAGAAGAATCATTAATAAACTCAGATGGGATTGTGGAGGATATAACCAATGATAGTGATGTTGTTACATTTTAAAGACCGAGTTGAAAAAATAACCCGTGGTTAATGTGGGAGTATTTAGTATTCGAGTTTGCAAACCGTTGGAAAGAACAAGCGAGGTAGCAATACTGACCTTTCCACAAGGCGGAAGCTGAACCCACCCCAGTCACATTCTAAAAGCTAATGACGTGGTTTGATCTTCCTGTTATATGTTGATGAGATTTGCGCAGGCCTTTTCAAATGGTAGACATTCTTCAATCTGTACTCCCGCCGCCTATGTGCTTCATCACATCCCGAGTATCAATGATATGCAGGGATCAAATTAGCACATCAAAACATGGCTGCATGAAATAAACACCGCATTGAGAGGAGGATATTATAAATCGTCCCAACAAGGGAAGAATAATTGCGCCGTCTTACCTTGGTGGCATTAGCCATCATACCCAAATTTCAGCTTTTAATCGAGTGATTAATTAGGTTTGAAGCTCAGCGCCATGATTGAATACATTGTGACAGACAAGTCGACCGCGAGCTCGATCCATTGAGATTGAGATTTCAACTTGGCTATTTCCGAATCGGATGATATATTCACCAAAAACTAACTGCAGCAATAACTTTTGCTGTGCCTTATTGAATTGGAATTGATAGTGGTAGAAGTTTCTGCATTGACAATATCAACGTAGCAGGCGAGACGTTACATAGATACCAGAGATCACGGCGCCGCTTGTATCGTGAATAGCAGTTACTTACCTGATTTGTCCGGGAGCATGATCCGGGCATGCTCGCGCATTCGGAAGAATAACCGCCAACCGAGGGATTTTAAAGCCATGGCTTTGTTGCGCAGTATGAGCACCTAGCCAAACTGATCATCAAGTGGTCGACGTCTTATATCGTCGACGCCATGATGTTTAGCTTCGCTTACCGTAAGCAATTGCTGTTCACACCGTGTCGGTGCTTTTTCTATGGTAAAGGGAAAGGGGGAATGTGGGTGCGAAAATCGCTACTATTACCCCCTACACAAATATCAAATGCACTACGGAATATATGTATAAGAAATGGAAGAGTGCGTGCGAGCTTCCTTTTGAGCCTAAAACGCACGTTCAGGCATGAAAGAATGCCATTGATTGAGCCTCTCTGGCCGCGTGTTGACGAAGCCAACGCATGGCACCTAGCCATGTACTTATCCTCAAATCAAACATCATCGTTGCCGACAAGCCTTTTTTACGGGAGAGAAAGGGAACCATTGTACGGAAGCTTATGGGGAAAAAAACTTTTGAAGAAGAGTATGAACTTCGAGCATGGAAGGCTTTGTTAGAGTCTGCACCAGATATTTACAGGCGCGTATTGAATACAGTCCTTCTTTAGCAACGACTCCCAACTTTTGCATGGCTCCAAAAGGTTCAACAGGAATCTTGAGAACTGTGATTATATCTGCGATGTTAAGAAATGACAGTGAATCTCATATCGGAGAGGGTGAGGCCGACTTCGACCGATTCATTGAAACCAAGCATTGATCCATCCCATATCAGAGTCGCCAGTTGTCCCAGCCCGGCCTTGCAAGTCCACACACTCGAGCTAACCATGGAGATTAACCAGTTCGCGATCGAAATCTCATTTCTCACGGTCTGCGCAGATTGAACCCTCCAACTTTTGGTTTGGGATATTGCCTAGGTGGCTGTACCTCTTGAGCAAGGCCCTCAAGATTCTCGCGGTGTTTACAAGGAGACTCAAGCACTCCCTCGGCGGTAGCACTGTCATCACTCCCTAGTTAGATAGGGACGCTGCTCGAACGGTCATAGCCATTCCTCACCAGTCGCACTTACCGGGATCGTTCGTCCAAGTCATCCTGCGTCTATAGGGATGTTCTTGTTAGAAGCCAGCCCAGGCAAAGTAATCATGTTGAGTATCCCACCAAATGGTGGTCAACAGGAAAAGGAACAGTATAAGTACGTAGAGGTTCTTTCTCAGCGTCTTATCGCCTCTCCTTTCTTTTACAATTTCTTGCAGACGGCCGGGTTGGATTCAATGGCAAGGAGCAAGACAAGTAGATGACAGGGACAGGTAATCGTGGATGATAATCAATTCCTATGCCCTTGTCTCATACTCAGGCGCTGAGCCAAAGTTCGCCAACTTAGCGAAGCTAAGTTGTGCTGCTCATCTCTTGTTCTATATACTTATTTTATGTAGCACTACAAACGAGAGGGAAAGACAGTTTTCGGCCAGAGTTCTGGTTGAAAAATGTAAACGAGTTAAAGGCCCATACCCTCAGGGTGTTACGTAGACTCGGCTTTATCTCTACCCCACATTTTAAAGTTCCGCAACGTATTAAGTGTCCGTTTCCGAAAACGAGCCCCTAAAAATTTAACCAGATGCCGGGTTTTAGGTATATAATATAGCAGGTCCGAGTAGCGGGATATATATATTTTCACTTGTATGATAAACATAAATGAGTTCTTTTCACATTTACAAGAGTAAACCTTTTACCGGAAAACTAAATGCTAACTTAATCCTAACTAAATGCTAGGCAGCATCAGTTTAGTCTAGCTCCAAACGTATTCAAACGGCAATATTGGAATATCCTTGATCAATAAGGGTGCGTGTAAAAGTCACGATAGCAAAGAATCAACTCGTTGAAAAACGGTAATTATCAAAACTTTTCATTGTCCATTTAATCTACAGAAAACTCTTCTTTTTATACCTATATAAGGAAATGTCCCCCCGACGGTGTCCGCCGTGCACTCGGTGTAGCCCCTTACTGAAGAGTTTTCACAGAGATTTCCGATATGGCTAGGAGCATTCCTGTGTTTGATCGTAACACTGAGCTGGCGGCTGCCGCCACTCTGGGACAACACGTTGGCAGAGCTTGGATCTGTCAAACAGAGTTCACTGGGTCAGGGGTCGTCCCTGAGAATCCGTAGTGCCTTAGGTGGGTGAGCTATCTAGACAGGGGTCTGAGTCCAGACTCCGCACATCTCAAAGCGGGATTAGACTTAATATAATTCTCTGCTGCACCCAAATTCCTGTCGAGAACACATTCTTCACTTGATATATTAGATGCTAGAGTCTTTCAAATTTTCAAAAATCTTCATTAACTATTGTATTAACTGATTAAGATGATAATGTTTTATGATGAGAAAGTTTGGATTTTACTAGTATAGAATCTTTTCTCATCAGTCACTTAATATCCCATAAGGCTTAGAATCTACAGGTGAACAGTACCTGCGGAGCTTAGAAGGAGCGATTAAATACATAGAGTACTAGAACTCCCAGAACTAAAAGGGCCGGTAGAATCCATGACTAAACGAGTGACAGTAGTCATCGCCTGGACGAACCTGAGCTACTAGTTAGTGGCGGTGAGAGGACTATCTGTTCCGTTATATTGGATATAGTAATTTCAATATCGAATACTATTGATCAATCACCTCATTCTTTTCTGATTCCTCGTGCTTCTAGGCCTCAACAAGCGTCAGATACATAAGCTAGACAATTCCCATCAAGGTACCCGAGCAGCATTTTGTTGATTTGAACGATTTTCTGCTCCTCCAAGGGCTGCTCAACCTTCATCTACTCTTGCGCTCAATCTGATTCATGCTATCCCAAGATGAATCCGCTGGATACTTGTAGAACTACCTCGGATCCTGTATCAACAGATGCAGAGCATTGGAAGACGCAAGACCCATATATCTTCCAGCCTGCTGAGTGGTTTTTCAAAGATTTTGAAAATGGCAACCCCACGCGGCCGCGATCAGTTTCTTTGGAATTAGATGACCAAATGATTGATAAAAAGCCCAATCCTGTCTCTAGTCATGGACGTATCTTCCGCTTCAACGACAAGCTGGGATTTCTACTCGTTCAGTTTATGCGGCCACAAGTATGGCGCCTGCAATTTCATAGTACGAACGAATCACCCACTGCTTTTTCCGACTACAACACTAGAAACATTGTTCAAGACACGCTCACGAGGACCATCGAGATTCTGGACAATGCGGAAGGAATCTCATGGTGTGTGGAGCTAAAGGAGCCAAATGAGAGGTATTATGTCCTTCAATCGGTCTTGAAATCGACGTCAAAAGACAATTCGTTTCGGAAGGTTCTGGTTCAACTCTGGATTCATCGTGATCCGTTCAAGATCACTGCCATCCGAGCAATCAGAGCTGAAGGTGCTTACACGCAGGTTCCAAACTTTCTTACTGCAGTAGCGAAGGATCCAGAAGTAGCAAGGGAGCTATTCATTGAAGCACCTCCAGGTTCACGGATCGCAATTATCTGGCAAACAAAAGACTGTCCTTTGCAGTGGCTAGGGAATAATGCGACTATTTTAGCTGTAGAGAAGCCGCTCAACGCTAAGTACACGGGATTTGGTGAACAAGGCGGACGCACAATGTTTAAAGACAAAGTTTTCATGAATTATTTTAGTGAGCAATATCTAAGTAGAGCATCATCGTGACGAGCTAACCTTGTCTGGACCAGATTTTGATAATATGCGCTATAATAATGTTTATGGAGATGGACCTTATTCAGACAGCGAACCGCTCTACCACTCTGAGCCCTACTGGATAGAAATGAATGCGCATCCGGGGGCACAGTCGCAATTGGCAACGTTTATTGACAACTATTCAGACGTTAAAGTGGATCTTGGCTTAGTCGAATCCACGCAGTTCCGCGTTGCCACCAGATTCAACGGTTTTCGGTGCATTCTCATTGCTGGTGATGATGTTGCACAGATCATTCGTTCATACACCTCACTCATTGGGAAACCACAGCTAAAGCCGCGCTTCGTGCTTGGTTATCACCAAGGATGTTACGGGTATGATACCAAGAAGAAAGTACAAGATGCGGTAGACAAATATAGGGCATATAATATCCCCTTGGATGGAATGCACATTGATGTTGACATCCAGCGTGATTATCGCACCTTCACTATTGACACTGCCGAGGATAAATTTCCAAATCCCGAAGAAATGTTTGATCGACTTAGAAAGCAAGGCGTCAAATGTAGTACAAACATCACACCAATCATCAGTTCTCGTAAGATTCCTGGAGAACCATACAATACATATGATGAAGGTCTGGCAAAGAAATACTTTGTCCTTGATCGCCGCGACATCGACCCGTCGGCTCCCACAGCCGAGCATCAAGTTTCGCTCAACTTTGGCAAAGGAAATCGCTACTTCAAAAACCCAAATCTAGAGAGCAGTCTCCCACGTTATGATCCCCCGGATGATTATAGGCTTAAAGACTATTTCAATACTGGTAGACCATTCCGTGGTGGAGTAGACTATGGTGACCATAGGGGCACTCCCGGTCACTATCCAAATCTCAATCGAAAGGACGTCCGGATGTGGTGGGGAAAGCAATATGAATATCTATTTAAGATGGGGCTTGAATTTGTTTGGCAAGATATGACTTCTCCTTGCATGGCAGAAGGCTTTGGTGACATGAAATCGTAAGAAATCTTTCCATCTTTCTCTCACACCATTAGTTGACACTGACATGTGTAAAAGATGGCCATTCCGATTACTTCTTGATTCAGATGGGTGGAACGGAGATCCACGTGCTGCCGATAAGAAGAAAGCGATTGAGATTTGGTCATTGTACAGCTACAACCTTCACAAGGCGACGTTTCAGGGCCTGCAAAATCTAAGTAGCCGTGAAGGCAAGCGGAATTTCATCATTGGCCGCGGTAGTTTTGCCGGCGCCCAGCGTTTTGCTGGACTTTGGACAGGTGACAATGCTTCCACCTGGGAATTTTTGGATATATCGGTAGCTCAAGTGCTTGCCCTTGGCCTTGCCGGTGTGACTATTGCTGGGGCGGATGTTGGAGGCTTCGAGCCTAACGAAGGTGAAAAATGGGCAGATCCAGAGTTGTTGATCCGGTGGTATTGTGCGTACAGCTTGCTTCCATGGTTCAGAAATCACTACTCGGCCAAGGAAGGCAAGAAGCTGTTTCAGGAGCCGTACGCATATCGAGAGTTACAGGACACACCCGAATGGCAGCACGTGCCAGAAAAAGACCACAACATGTATCATTCCGTGTTGCCAATCTGCCGTTACATGGTACAGTTGAGATACAGTTTGCTCCAGCTGCTCTATGATGCCATGTTTGAGAACATGATCACTGGTCTGCCCATTGCCCGCTCCATGATTATCACCGACCCCTTCGATTCATCGCTGTATCAAGCCAACCAAGTGTACACTCGAAGCCAGTACTTGGTCCGTAACGACCTGCTCGTTGCACCACACCTCTACAAGCAATCTAAACGCCGCAGTCGCAAACTTTACCTGCCCGCTCCGGATGGTTGGTATCCTATGAATCTCCGGCCCGGTACAACCTCGGGTGGCATATTTGCTGAATCCCTTAAGCCGAAAGTCAGTGGTGGCACGTACGTCTGCTTTGACTGCCACATTTCTCCGAGCGAAGAGCAGCTCCCATACGTGACTCCAATGTACATCCGTGAGGGCGCCATAATTCCTCAGATTGAAGTCCGCGATAGCGTCCCTGACCGCACCCGGGACGACAAGGACGCACGCCAGAATCCAATCACAATCAACGTATATCCTGGAAAGAACAACACGTACGATATGTACCTCGACGACGGTGTGTCGAGGGAGAGTGCGCCCGATAACATATATCTTTCGTCGCTACGCACCACACCGCAGGGAAATGATGAAATACAGTCATTCAATGCATATGGTGATCGTAAAGCCAAGAGTATCTTTCGCCATGTCAAATTTGAGCAGACAACTACAAGGCAGTTCGCCGATGATCAGCTTCGAGATACACAAAAACTCACAGTCAGCACGCCCTGGTGCAGATACACGGACGAGCAGGTCAAGAGGGACATTGGGACGGAGTATCGGATTGTATTCTGGCACGAATCGAGATGGCCAGCGGCGGAAATGGACCTAAACACTGTCACGGTGAAGATCGAAGGTACGCAAAAAGCTCGCCACGAATTGGCCAATGCCATTGGCGCAACTGTGGTGTGGGTGCCGGTGGATTCGAACGTGACTGCCACGATAGAGGTCAGCTACCCTAGTTAAGCAGGTATTTTGGGTCTCGTAGATGAGACGCTAGATTGAGGAGCGGTGATCTCCAAGACTACTTTAATTGAGGGTATTTTTTAAGCCAGAGAAGGTTGTATCAGTATTACCATTATCGAAAGTTTTAATTGTAATTCAGGAAGGGAGTCCAAAATGGAAGACGTTTGGGTTACATTGAGGGTTAGGAGATCCGGCGTTACAACCACAGCAGCATTATTGATAGAAAGACAGGTACCGAGGGCGGCAACCGGCCTTGTGTAAAAACTCCAAAAAATAGATTTTTGTATGGAATCAGCGTATAGAAAAGTTTAGATAGCGTGTATAATATTAATAATTATTGTTTTTTAAGAAAATATCTCTAGATAATTTCAACAATATTACTAGTCCACGTTTAATCTCTTTCAATTTATTATATTAAAGTTTTAAATATTCAAATTATAAAAAAAATCAAAACTTAAATAAAGAAGTATTATTCTTTTTCTAAGTCATTAATTAAACAATCTTTTATTTATGATCTTTATATCTGCCCAAGACTTCGTTTTCAGGCCGGCAAATTAGAAACATCTATAAGCTTGGAAAAGAACAGGCTCTTGGGGTGGGGGTAATGGCTAACTATACTATTATGACACGAAACCTCTCTGGAAGGATTGTCATCTGCATTTATGGATAGAGCTAGGTCATTGCAATGTTATCTCACTTTCTGTTGAATTGTATTGTACAGAATCATCTCAAATCATGATCCGCAAACTTCAATATGAGCGGGTGTATCATCCACAGCAGTTAAATGCGTTTATATTCTGCACTATAACATAACTACGCTTCCAGTATCATACTGGAAAGGGGTATATCCAGCCATGTGCATCCGTGCACTCATAACGCCATTGAAACTCGATCCGACAACCTATCCTACCATTCCATCTAAACTCAAGCAATATCTGCATTGGCCCTAAAGTTACACTGGCACTTGCACTCAGCAATTGGACACTCCACATGTCTATCAAACCACTTTATCGCATGATCCATATGAGCAGCATGTTTACATTTCATACAGAAAGTCAACTGATTGCCCATTCTCTTAATCATCGGATCGGTCGACAGCTCAGGCCTATCCGACCTCGGAGAACCACAAATTTCTAAGCATATTCCACAGCGAGGTAAGTGCGAACCACAGCGAGGACAGCTAAGGCCTGCATTGATTCCACTGGAGATTAAAGGATTGCGTTCATCAGCAGAAGAAGAGGGACCGGCGGATGAATTAGGGGGAGCGGGAGCAGCGCCTGAAGCATTATGACGATCATTTGAAGAACGGTTATCGCAGTAAAGACAGCGGACGGTGACTTGGCGAATGGGAGGTTTGATAACTGGAATGCCGTCTCGTTGACGAGATTTCTTGGCTGAGCCTTGGTCGAATTGGACTCGTAGGATGAATTGCTGATGGCGATTTAGATAAGCTTGGTAGCTTTGGCGCCAGGCATCGCAGCGAATATCAGAAATGTATCGTGGGTAGCAAAAAGACATGATTAGGATGGCGGTTTGATAATCGAAAAACTTTGCAACATATTTCGCCAAAATATCGACCATGTTGTCTGTGATTCCGGCAAGTACAATGCCTTCGATATCTCCATGTTCGATAGCTTCTTCCATTTCCTTGTCAAGCCACTCTGTGAGTTGAAGATCACTAAGGTATCTTAAAGCGACTCCAGCGCGGTATCTCAATGGTAAAGCTGTCTCATTTGCGATGACCTCCCAGTCTCGTGTTGTGACATAGCCAAAGATAGCTCGGAGATATGGATCTCCAGACATGTGAGCTTGATCTTCAAGCGTCTTGCTCCAATTGGACAGATCAACGTTAGGAGGACTCTTGGTGGTAACGTCGAGTGCTACAGCAACAAATACTAGCTCTTTGTCTCCACGCCTGAGGATATCAACTGCAAGTTCAGGTTCTCCTTCAAAAAGCGCCCGTGCAGCCGCTTTGGTATACTCTCCTCTCCCTTCTAAACGAGTAAGAATTTCTCTAAGCTCTGCTACAGGTTTTGCAAAGCCGCATTGAGCAAGGCATAACTGTCGATGCTGTGGCTTCATGGTTGGTACACCAGTATACTCTTCATAGCCAATACGTTTGTTGATAACAGCAATAAGTCTTTCCCACTGAGTAGGATCAGGAACAACAGTACTTTCGACAAGTCTTGATTCGGCCTTGCCACCTAATTTGTTGTTCCATAAGGTATAGACTCCCAAATAGCTAAGGTCAAGGGTCGAATACAACATTCCATCATCCTTGGCTGCTTTCTCGGCCACTAATTACATTAGCTAATATCAATAACACCAGAAAAGTAACATACTTGAAGTCCAATACCATACATCTCTAAGCCATGGATCTTCTTTGACTAGTGACTTGTTTTTGTTACAATCAAACAAGTACCCATTAAGAGCACGTTCTATGAATAGATTATCGATTAGCATAGCGTCGGCCTTAGAAGCTGGTATGCGAGATCTCAATAAGATCTCGTGCATATCCCTGCTTGAGTAAATCTTAGTTGCCGATGAATCTTGGGAATTAAATTTGTTCAACAGATTTATAGCAGATAATTTCTCGCTTAAAGAACCATGAACGCTCTCAGCGCCGACAACTCCTCCCTTGGCGAATGTCTCTAGAACCGGGTCGTCGACAAACTCGAACTGTCGATCAATAGCTTCCGCAAAAGTCGACTTCGTGAAAGATGCTCTGCTAATCTGGCTTCCAGGAGTTTCTTTCTTGACATCTGACGCTGGAGCTTCGGGACGTTCAAGAGCTTTGTCAAGAGCAGCCGCTAGCGACTCTTGCACATGCAGGGTATTGTATCCATCCGATCCAAATATGGGTGTATTAAACTTCAGTTCTTTTGCATAAAGAGGGCCAAGATTCGCTCTACGCTCGGTGGCATCTGCAAAGTCCATCAAAGTATGATATGGCACTTTGTCGTGATTATGTGGTTGTTGCCATGGCATGAAGTCCATCATTTGATCGGTGCTAGTAGGCGGTGTTTGCATGATTTCTAATGATCCAGAAGCCCTCAATGCAACAACACGTGGCTGTAGATCTGTAGTACCGAGTGTTAACCAATCGAAAGAGACTATCCTATCTTCCTGCTTGCGACCACGATCTGTGTCGAAATATGGATATTCGAGATCAAACGATCTCCTGACTTGAAGTAGCTCTGGACTCCCTTTAACATCATCTTCAGAACCAGGATCGTAATACTCCTTGTTAGTCTTCAGAATCTGAAGCTGGCCGGTATTTGACAGAACACCCAAAGTTCCACGCTGCTCTCGACAATAGCGCAATGATTTTATATATGAGCCTTGTTTGTCGGTGGAAATGACCTTCTTTAGTTGCAAAGCGGCCCCCCAAACATATCCATCGTTATCAAAAGCGTCCAAATACATCGGAGAGGCAGTAGCTCGAGTGCTGACACGTCGATCCCAGACCATGAGTCCAGGTTGATCTAAAGAAGAAGAAGCAAAGTAGTTGGGATCTGAGTAGTCGATGGTGAGGTTGTTGTTGCATTTAGTTTGAAATGTGATTACTCCACCACTCGGGTCTATTCTATTTTAGTATATGTTACAGAAAAGATGCAACTTAACGAACCTCTGAGGTCGTGGATCCGGACAGAAGAGTTCTTGATACCAATAGCAAGGGTTTGCGGTTGGTCCTCAAAGAACTTAATGCTAGTTACCTGTTTGTTGTCAGTAGCGCCGTCAAGGGTGCTTTTTTTACGTCCACTCACGGTGGCCGACTCTAACTTTCTCGGCTCGACCGCATTATTTGGGACTTTCCATCCTGGCTGAGAAGTATCCCAATCAGCTAGGCGTTGATTAATATCCCAAATTTGCAGAGAGCCATCATTGCGAACTCTTTCGAGACCAATTGCTAGCAATCCAGTAGTGTTAAAAGCGACAGCTTGACATGCTCTTGGCTGCTTGATGGAAAGAGACAAAACAGCATTAGAATTGTCGTCAACTCGTAGTAATTGAAGCTCGCCACTAGAAGTACCGACAGCAACTAATCCTTCGACAACTGGCGACCAGTCGAATGTATTCAAAGAGGGGATATCAATGTAACGAGAAAGGGGTTCATACTCGAAGTTTCCTGGCCGTGCAAGGCCCTTGGCCTCATAGACTTGAAGGATTCGATAATTCAGATTGAACGCAACAAACTGCGCACGAGCTGAGTTTGGTGACCATCTAATGATTCCCTCCGTCTTGTCCATGTTTGCTGGAGTTCCAGTCCCGTACTCCTAACTTAATCTAGCCTCTTGAACCTATTGATTTTAGGCTTCTAACCAGCTAGTTGAATCGCTAAGGGAACAAGTCCGTCCCTATTCCGACTTGGAAAGTAGCTGTCAGCTGATCTACCTCCAGTCAAGGGGCAACTTAGCAAAACTCACAGTCTAGATAAGGAGGTCGCAAAGCTTGAACGCTTTGGCCAAAATCTGAAAGGATAAAATCGAAAATAATTTCATTCACAATTCATAATTGAGTCTAGCTCTAGACAGGTTTGAATTCGTAGCCCTGTTGATCTTCAATATCCGTGTTTCCAGGGGAGTGATTTCGGATTCCAGGATTTCTGACTTAAAATTCGTTAATTTTCACCTGAGTAGGCAGCGATAGCTTTCAATGACTTGTTTGTAGGTTCGCGGTTCAAACAAGTTTAGAATAGCAGGTAGCTCTTCGTCTCCAGATCTATAAATCAACTGTTAGTTCGAATAGCTTCCAATATCCATGTGTTCCTTGAAGATTGATTCTGTAATTCCCCCTCAATGAAAACTAAAGGGATGAGATTGAAATGAGAACTGGATTCAGGTCTTCAGTTTTTTCATGCGAGAGAAATAATAAAGCAGAGATGCTTAAGAGAGGAAATCGAAATACTTATTTATCACTTCTAGCAATTCTTTGAAGATGGTCCTGCTTTGTCATCCCGAAGTTATTCCGGATTGGTGGGTGTGGAGGAAAAATAATATTCTGTAAGCTTAACAAATTTGACAAGGCTGAGCAACTACAGCAAATTCAACATTGGAAGAATTTTTGATCCAATTCAACAACATCATGGCACCTAAACGGAAACTTTCAGATTCAGATGCCCCGGAAGTGGTACACCCATCTAGACAAGTTCAAGTCTATGGTGATGAGCCAAAACCTGCAAAGAAGCGCAAGTCGGAACCCGCATTCAACAAGAAACAAGCCCATGCTTCAAGCGTTAATACCATAAAGAAGAAGATAAGAGATACAACAAGGAAGCTTGAAAGGGCACAAGATCTTCCTGCAGATGTGCGCGTAGAGAATGAACGGGCTCTTGCTGCATATCAGCAGGAATTGGCTTCTGCGGAAGCCGAGAAGATTAGACAGAAAATGATCAAGAAATATCACATGGTTCGATTCTTTGGTATGATATTCCCAACATTGGACTTACTTTTCATACTAATTTGGTATTTCAGAGCGTCAAAAGGCTACTAGACAACTAAAGAAGCTTCGAAAACGTCTTCTGGAAACCCAATCTACCGAGGAAGTTGAGCAATTGAAGGAAGAGATGCACATTCTTGAGGTGGATCTCAATTACACTCAATACCACCCTCTAAGCGAAACATATATTAGTTTATATCCCCCGAAAGGATCAAAAGAGGATGCAGAGGACAAAGCGGATAAGGAGAAGCCCCCGATGTGGAAAGAGGTGGAAAAGTGCATGGAGGAAGGAACCCTCGATCGGTTAAGGAATAGAAAACCAGACATCACTATTTCAACTACAAAACCCGTCAAACTTCCGGAGAGAAAGTCTATAAAACATAAGCCAGTACCAAAACCAAAATTGGAAGAGCAAGCTCCATCAATTGATACTACAGGAATGAATCGACGCCAGAGAAGAGCCCAGCGCGGGGTGAAGGATTCAAGGGCTACAAAGATTGCAAAGAATAAGTCTACAGGCTTTTCTAAGAACCAAGCATTTGGCGCCGTCGAGGGAGCAAGAGCAGACGAGGCGCAAGACGGAAACGTTAGTGATGGAGGTTTTTTCGAGGAGTAATTGTAATTATATGGAGTTGGGCTGTACTACGATACCCTTTTATCAAACATGTTTTATGTGAAAGCCTATTATTACTACTACATGGTTTCGCCCTTCGATTGAGTCATGCTTGGTTCCCTGAGATAACATTCCGTGCTTCAATAATCAAGCAGTAGTCTGCATTAGTGAAGTGTCAAAAGCAGCTCTAGTTGCATAGGGTTTCGTGGTGTATTTGATGTAAATTACCCCAAAAAAGAAATCAATCATGTTAGCTGTGGATGGACATAAACATTTAGTCTCACTCATCAGTTGGTATTGAGCGCATTGCCTCCATGATAAAGAACCATGGATATCACTTGCACAAGTCGCAACTGTCTCAGTTCACATTTCCGCCAAAATGTTAATCCGAACATATAATATTGAGAATGGAATACCTCTAAATGAATTATCATCCTCGCCAACACTACTCTTCTAACGCATCCACCACAAAATTCTTATTATGTATGTCTAATCATATTTCTAATCAACAAGTCATAACAAATATATGAATTTGAGAAGCAAAAAAAAAGAAACGAAATTTGGGGTTTCGCATGTATGGGAAGAGCAGTAACGACGGCTAAGTTATTTACGGCTGTAGGGCCATCCAGGCGTTCCCGTGGTGTCTCCCATCTTGAGTTGCCTCTGAATATGTTACTGTTGTTTGTATATACATTTTTGTGTGATAAATCGAGATGAGTTGTTTTTGGCACTATGTATGCAGAGCAGGAGATTCGTTAAGCGAGGAAAGATGGATATTCGCGCTCCATGGCTCATATTTGGCTTGTGGATTATTGTCATGTCTTACTATATATTCTAAGACCCTGCACTAGAAAACGGTCATTCGACATTTGGCCTTATCACCAGTAACAGCTCGGCTGTTTGGAAACATCTTGTTCATCCGTGGGATATTCTTGCCCGGAAGAGTTTTATATCGGGGTGGTTCCTCGTTTCACAATTTACTATTACTGTGAAAATATCGATGGCCGTTTCCTTATTTGCTTTTCATTCTCTTTATCATTGTATCTGTATTCATTTTCACTTATAGTTAATGAGGAATTTAAGGAATTTAAATCAAGATTCGATCGACGGGCAAAGAGGAATCCCGTGTTTTGGGGCGCACCTGATACTGAATTGTCGGATGACACTAAGTTGCGTCCTTTCCAACTTTGGCATTTTGTGAAAGTCGTATATTTTGCTCTTACTAGTTCGAGCAGATTAAACGACAGACTGTTATGTCATCTAGAGAGTGAGTATGCACTGCGTGCTTTGAGGGTTGTAGGTTTTTGTGGTATCGGCACATTACTCGTCTTCTAAGCCTTCTGTCACTTCTCTCCGCCACTGAATTAGGGTTTCACCCGCTATCACAGACATGAGCCCACCACGATGGAACTGGAAGTGGCTATTGGCGCTCAATAATCAATGTCACCTTTTTTTGGGCATGTAGAGTTTATGATACAGAATGGAGGTTATAGAAAGGAATGTTCAGTCACGCTAAGAAGTTCGGCTATATATCTTGGAGCTGGTAATTACCAAATGCTCTAAATAACCAAGGAACAAAGACGAGTAATACACGCAGAAGTACCGTACACAAGTCCAGCTCAATTGCCTTTCTCATCGAACCCTACGATGAATCGAATTTGAGCTTCAAAGTGTGAGAGATTAACATCGATGGTATCTCCCCCAATATTTCATTACTACGCTATGTTCTAGTAGCAGTATGCCATTTTTAATGACAATGACAATGGCAATGGCAATGGACATACGTCCAATCTTGCCATTTTATCTGACGTGCATGCAGTTTTCAAATGATAATCTCTCGAATCGGCTTCAAAACCTCACACATCATTATCTACCAGTGGACAGGTTCAGAAATATGGTCAGCCGCAGATTTGAAGGCTTCAGATGGGGTCGGCAAGTTTCCACTGTAGTGGATAAGTTTGCTAGAGGACTTCATTGCTTCATAATAGATATCTTCTTGCATACTACTTGTATCGTAATAAACGGGGATTTTGCTGAATGCCGGCCTTGGCATTCGCACCGGATATTCCAGTAGATTCTTTTAAGCTCAAGGAATAGTCGTCATATACCTCCGCGTCTTATTCACTTCCATTACTTCAAGAGACAAGATCCCCATCTCACGCTAAGATTAACAAATCCAGTTTAACAAAAGACCGACCAGGCACTCGAATATACCTGACGACCTAGTTCTTGAGGTATACAAGCGTCGAACGAGGCGTATTGGTTGTGTTATGAAAATTCCTGACGGACGAGGAAGTTCACACGACTGTTTGAGTACAGAAAATTGTGGTCTCAAATAATTGCCTTATTATAACGTGGCTTAGTAGACGGGAATGAGATATCCGGCATAGGTTATTTGTCTGAGAAAAGATGTGGTAGCTTGGACTTCATCTAATAGGGATCGATGACAAGCCCGATTACGGATGATAGTGAGAGATCAGTTCCTCTGGTATTGGAGGCTTTTGTCTACAAACTGACAGTCAAAATAGTGGAATATCTCTGTGACTGCAAAGAGCGTATACTTCAACATCTGATGGTTATTTTGCTTGGGCACTGATGCATTTTCTGCCTTTGAATCGGGATATATTTGATGCCTGCCATATCTGTATGTTGCCTAAGGACTTCGGATAGAATTCATCCTTCTTCATGAGCTAGAATCACGTGTGAAGGGTCGTCCCGCAGGGCTAATCCTTGCGCTGTTAGGCCTAATATGGCAAGTACGATGCTGACTGAGGGTCTATATAATCAGGAATCGCAGCTCAATAATAAGACAACCCTCTTCACACCTACAAAATAGAATCATTCATAGTGACCTACACAGGTACAGGTTCTTAGAGAGGCTCCTGGCTTCAAGATACTCGAATTTTACGTTACAGGACTCAATTCGACCTGCCAATATCGAAAAATGAAGATATATTCCTCGATGTACCTTGAACTTCACTCCTCATTCCGATCCTCTCTCGTTATTTCTCAGATCTGCCGTCCACACAGATGCTCAACTACAAATCAGCTCTGTAGCCGATGACTCGCTCCGGTACACATGCTTCAAGTTTTTGTTTAAGGCACATTTCCGATACAATCGATAGATTTCCGAACAAATCGAAGGTTTGGTGAAGCTATAATATATTGGTTTTCAAGAAGATCAACAAGTTTTCCGATGGAATTGAAGACCTGGTGAGGCTATAATATATTAATTCCCGGATGCGGATATAATACACTGGTTTTTTTGTGGCCGATGACTAGCTCCGGTACGTATGTTTTCGTAATATCATGGTTTTCGATAAGTCGATGGGTTTTCCGGCGAATCGAACGCCTGGTGAGGCTATAATACATTGGTTTTATATGATTTGAGGGGTTATTGGCTTCAATGTTTGGGGTTGAGATGGCTGTAAGGTTTACAGGTTAGAAAAGGGTTGGGAATAGCTTCATACTTGCTGGTTTTGGTGCCGATATTACTAGGGGGAGCGGGACCGTGTTAGGCCTGATATGGCAAGTACAATGATGATTATGGGTCTATAATCAGGAATTGTAGCTCCAATAATAAGATAACCCGCTTCACACCGACAATATAGAATCATTCAGTGCTCCACACTTTCCCCACCTTCCTAGCCAAGGCCAGTACTCACATTTCACAATCGCTTCGTCCCACCCAAGAAAAAAATCCATATCCCTACAACGAAATCATCAAACCCCATCAAACATCCAAAATTCCATCCCGTTTCCCCAAAAATGTCTCGCGTCCTAACCGACAAAATTCGCGTCGAGCCCGAATTCACAGAACCCGAAGACTACCTCCAAACCTCCCTCTCCGTGCTCTTTCCCGACGATATCCAAAACCAACACGGCGATAGGGATCAACATATTGTATATACATCCCCAACATTAGGCGAGATAATATTAGAACTATCTGCGCCAGCGGGCGAAAAAGGTCGTCTATTATTCGCGCATTATTTATGGAATGCCGGATTACAATTAGCGGAGCTTTTCGAAGACGGGGATGGGAAGAGAGGTGGTAGGGAACGATGGGAGGTTACTGGGGAGAGTGTTTTAGAAGTGGGAAGCGGGACTGGGTTAGCGGGGATAGTGACTGCGTTGATGGGTGCAAAGGAGGTGGTTCTTAGTGATTATCCTGACGAAAATGTGCTTGCGAATTTACGGAAGAATGTAGCGAAGAATATTGAAGCCAACGGATTCGGCGATGTGACGGTACAAGGTCACGAATGGGGAGTTTTGGACGACCAATTCTCGATAGATAATAAAGAGAGGTTTACTAGGGTGATTGCGTCGGATTGTTTGTGGATGCCATGGCAGCATGAGAATCTTTTGAAGTCAATTAGGTGGTTTTTGAAGGAGGATGGACGGTGAGTGGTGAAGGAGTTGTTTTGTTCTTTTTTTGGTTTCTCTGGCCCCTACCTGGTGGAGATTATTGAGTTAGGCACAGATGAGTGGATGGAACTCCCCCTTTGGCAGAAGTACTGATTCAATGAATATATAGGGCTTGGATTTGTGCAGGTTTTCACACTGGCCGGGAATTAATGCGTGGGTTCTTCGAAGAGGAAAAGCTAGCAGCAGCTGGGTTGGAGATAGAATCCATCTATGAAAGAGATGCCAACGGTGTTGAGCGAGAGTGGGTTACAGACAGAGGAGCAGAAGATCGAGATGCGATCGCCAGAAAGCGGTGGTTGGTAATTGCCATTTTAAAAAGACGATAAATCTGTCTGTCAAAAGCCCCTAAATGGTAATAGAAATTCAAATATATTTTGTCCATAATCACGAAGCAAGAATGGTAACATTTTTTTTCGTGCTTTACATGGACTTATCACATGAGATTTCGATTTTCCGCGCGTGATTGCAGTGATATAAAAGAAAGCCTTTCAGAGCTATGAAAAGAAAGGATTTAGTATAACGTGTTTCATCACCCCGTGCACCATATCACCTCGTGCACCACTTTCACCTCAATTCCTATTTATAATCATATATAATTCAACAATTACTTGATCAATTGATTTAAACTAAGCACTATCTAATAATTTAGGATCTATATTATCATTAGAACATGTTCTTGCATTATGACCTGTTATTCCACATTTACTACAGCATCGATTAGTCGATGCCTCTCTATTAGAATTCCGCCCATTTTGTTGCCTATCGCGTTTAATCTGAACATCCACCTCTTTTTGTGATATAATATCATTAGCCTCTTGAATAGTGAGAGCTCCTCCTAAACGTAATTGAGTCTTTTTAGCGCGTCGACGTTTACTTAATCCCGTATTTGCCAATCGAAGATCGTGATTCTCAAAAGCTAAAATCGTGACAATACTAGCTAGGTATTCTACACCCTTAATTAAAGGATCTGTAGCCTTAAATATAGGTGTAGGAGAGCTAGAATGATGCCGAGCAATAATAGATCGTACTAAAAATACTTGTGAAAGAGCTTCGGTGGCATTGTGAGGTGTTTGTAAAACCCAATCGGGCATATGACTCGGAGGAAGCGAAGGAGGAGTAGGTGTACGGATTCGAATATCCATTCTAGAGAGTACAACATCGGGATTAAAAGGGACTAATCCTGCTTCTCTAAAGCCTGCTTTCATATTCTCCATTGTAATTGCTTGTTTGTATGCAGCATTGAATGCTATAAAGAATTCGACTTTAGAGATATAATTGATATGCATCCGTATATACCCCTCAATTTGCTTGCTATATACACGTTTTAGCACATTAAAACAACTAATATCAAGAGATTAGATGAGATGACTCGAATAAGGTGGTAATCCGATGGCTTTAATCTTATGTTCTATACAATAGTTCTGAAAAGGGCCTGATTCATAGCTTTCATGTCCATCTAAGACTAGCATTCGATATGCACCCTTCGTTCGGAGTTTCGTATGCTTATCAAAATGCTTTAGCTATTCTAAACCCGTCTCATTATTCGTCCATCCATTTATAGTAGTTTTAACCACCCATTCGGGAGGCATATCCGTCTCGTTGTACCAATTGGCTAGGTGCATTTGTCCTTGAACAAGGAGATATGGAGGTATGTTCTCCCCCGTCGCATTACCACATACAATCGCTGTCGACCATTCTCTATTGCCTGGCTGTATTCCTTTACTTTTGCCACATCTATCTGCACTAGTAATAACCATACTAGAGGATATCACTCCCATCATAAAGCCTGTTTCATCAAAATTCCATATATTGCACTCCTGTATTCCATATTTTGCCTTTATATTTTTGAATAGTTGAAACCACTTATTAATAAGCATAGGATCCTCGCAGAGAGCCCTTTGGAAGTCGTAGGCACGATTAAAACGCGTTTTTAGAATATTGTGTCGATTCACGAATCGATATGCCCATTGTTTACCAACACGCTTTCCACCCCTCGATTCAAGAATATGATTCGCTATACTTTCAACACTTATGAATTTAGGACTAAATCCTCGCTCATCCATATCGATTATATGCTGAATAATAACCTCCTCTTTAATTTTAGTAATTTTATGCTGTTTTTGACGATATTCGGAGGCAGGAGTGATCCCTTTCATTCTACGTATGAGTGTCGTATGAGTAATATTGTAAATCTTGGCAGCTTTCCGGAGGCTTAAATTTTTATCTTTAGCCATTGCCTCCATCGCCATAACGATATCGCGTTCATTTAATGTCGATACCATAATTATTTATTGATAAATCGCGTATTGAAGTGATTGATGTGAATTGAGGTGAAAGTGGTGCACGAGGTGATATGGTGCACGGGGTGATGAAACACGTTAGCATTATTAGTATTAGAAATTAATATTAATATTTCTAGCGTTTGAATTTAAACATAATGACGCACACTCCTGAAAGAAAATCACTTCTTCATGTTCCAAGAGGTAAGATATTGTTCGCCCTAACTAATCTTAATTGGAATGGGTGAAAATGATACGATGTACGAAGTAACTACAAATCTGCTATCAACCACAATATAACGAGACTATATACGAGTCCACGCAATACACGGTATAGAAAAAGTACTGATATCGAGTATCATTTACACAAACAGAAATAAAATCACTGGTGATATTCAACTACTTGCGCTCGAGTAAGTTTTCCTTTTATTCGATAGCATGGGATTTAGCCGAGCCTGAGAGCTATCGGACTGACCAAGTTAATAACTCAGCTTTGATACCAGACAAGATGGATGTCCGGCGAATAATAAGGAAGAGGAGTCCACCGACCCAGAAGCAGGCGACGGACTAGAAAGCAGTAGCGGCTCATCGACGCTTCGAAGGTAGCGGCCATAAGAAGAAAATATGACATGTCTCATATACCGGTAGTGGAAGTCTCACATGCAGAAACAGTATTGCGCTCGCACTACGACCTGTTCATTCTGCGAGTAAATGGAGATAACATCCACGAACTCTTCCACATCAACAATGTAGAATTATAATTTTGTATCTTTCTATCATTTACGGATAGAGACGAAAACAATATGTCAAAACATACCATTGACAGATTCGTAGAATATTTCCTCGCCAATCCAAAACAAGAGCTGGAATCGACCGCTTTACAGCGAAATGGTCTTTCCACTCTTAGCACTTTCCCTAGCCGCCTCAATAATTTTCAAAACATCTCTAGCCTCACTTGCCTTCACTGGAACAGCATCTTCGCTGCCACTAGCTACAGCATCGGCGAAGTCTTGGTAGAGAGTGGCATAAGTCTGCGGAGCCACGTTCTTGACTGTGCTGCCCTTGGGTTTGCCATTCTCGAATACTACCAATCTCCCGGATCTATCTTCCGGTTCAACACCGAAGCCAGCATCACCGGGTTTAAGACCGGCCTTCAGTTGGTCTTCTTGAACATCGAGATGGTACTTCTTAAAGCTGCCTTGTGATCCTCGGACCCAGTATCGTAATTGCTCTTCTTCCACACACATAACCTACAGAAGTTAAAGATCAGAATATTTTCGAAAAGAGATTTAGCAAAAAAAAGTTGTTGATGGATGCTTACCCCAGCCTTTGCGGTTACTAATGGTCCATCCGCGCCATAACCCAGCATAATAGTCATACTATCTGGTTCTGCCGAGCCATCAGCTCTTTGATTTGCAAAAATTGCAGTTACTGTCTTTGGTAGGCCAAATAAGCAAAATGCTTGATCGATCAAATGTGTTCCAAGATCATACACAACACCGCCAGCATCCTCCATGGTTAATGTACCCTTCCAGGTCGCAGGTTTCTCGCCCTTATATCTATCAAAATGTGTCTCAAATTCAACTACCCTTCCCAATGAGCCACTACCAATCAAAGCCTTAACAGTCAAAAAATCCGAATCCCATCTTCTGTTCTGATATACGCAAATGAATTTTCCAGTCTCTTTGGATATAGAAATAAGCTCCGAAGCTTCTGCAGATGTAGGCACGAATGGTTTCTCAACCAAAACATGTTTATTCGCTTGTAAGGCGGCTTTTGTGAAGGGGTAATGTGTCTCAGGAGTTGTGGTTATGACAATGATATCAATTGCCGAATCTGCAAACATCGCATCTGCGGAATTGTAGATTTTGGCTTCGGGATGATCTTTGGAGGCATCATCGTTTGGCTTGGGGGTTCGCTGGACAATTGAGTGGAGATTGAAGGATGGAGTAACAAGAATGAGTGGAATGTGAAAGACTTTGGCTGACATGCTATGAGCTTCTGTTAGTCTACATCAGAAGAGATCTTAAGGAAGAGTATATACCCATAGCCAATTACTCCCACGTTGAATTTTTTATCTGTCATATTGAATAGGTGAAATGTTGAAAAATGTATATTTTGTCAAGAAAATAAATTTGCATTCATGGGAAAGTACCACTATATATATTATAACATGTTGCCCCTCCACCCCTCATGTTCATTTTACTCCCGCGATATGGAGGGGAACGGACGTAAGATCTTGCAATTCAACTTGAATAGTGGGTACTCTGGCACTACGAATTAAATGTCACGGTGGCTTATATAATGAATTTTACTAGTCAAGGAACAGAGGAATCTCGGATCCTCCTTGGTTTGGCAAGGGCCTTGGCATTCCGCCGCCATTTCTGATGCTCCCGCATCATCGAAATGTCGGACTTGCTTTATAGGGTAACGGCCTTGGCGTCTCGCGATCATTTTCGGCCTAAAATTTATACCGAAGTAATCCCGGTCGGACAAATTCTTCTCTCCTTTAAATATTGTAAGAGTAGCCGAATAAGCCTCCATACATTACGTATATGGCCAAATCAAATACATATACTTTGGTATATACTCCTAGGCGTGGTCAACGTCTCGTATTAGTCGACACCGTATTGTTAGCCAGGCGACAAAAATATTGAAGAGAACTCTCATAAAGCTAGAGGTCACTCACTCATGATATAATTTATATTACTTCCATAGCTAGTAGTGAGAGGGCGCCCGGTTGAACCATAGATTTATCAATAACAAGAATAGAACAATTCCCTTTCCACCTCATTATACTGGCTATTTCCCTTTGCCCATTCGTTAAGTCTAGTACCCCTTTTTTGGACCACCCTGTAACGATACTGTACTGAAGGCAGCGGCTGCCTAAGGTTTCGTCTGGTTGGTAGTTGTGGGTTAAGGCTTTATCATTGGTATTCATTTGGAAGTGAATTCGTTACTAGATCAAGTAGAATGTGGGTAAACTAATTGATAACTAAATTGAGCACAAAGCTCCTATACTATGAAACTATTTTGATTATATACTATATGTTTCCTGAATGTTAGCTATGCTAGCATTCATACCGGTGCTAGCTCATGTTAGCTGGTGTTACGACTGTATTCAGTTATGACTAAAACCCGCATCACATGACTAAACAAGGGGTCACGTGGTCCCACTCGTCCCACTGATTTAAATCGAGGGGAATGGTGGGACATATGGCACGAAGGTCTATATAATCAAGATGGATTTCCTTTGTATAGAGCTTCGTGCTCAAGATCAATCATTTAGCATACTCTACTATTAGTTACGAATTGCATTATTGTCATTACTTTAAGTCCCTGCTTGACGCCTAGTTATAAACCACCTCGAGAGCCTAGAGCACTTCCACGTGATCTAGACGGCAAACCTCGTAACATTTCAATCATTAATATCTCAATCAATAAAATTGGGAAAAATATAAAATTTTCAGATTCTACTAATAATTATATAATAGAATTATTGTTGAAATTTCATTAAATTTTATCAATTAATTATAAAGTTATTAATAGATGAGAATCACGATTTTTGGTGTAAAAAGGTGGTCCAAAAGAGGGGTGGTGTCACGATTCACCATTAGGATTAGTGTCTTGGGATGAAAAGTAATCACGTTATAAGGAGCCCTCAAAGCTCCTAGGGGCTCCCTTTATCGATCATTATATAGTCAGAGTAGTTTCATAGTTTAGGAGCTTCGTGCTCAACTTAGTTATCAATTAGTTTACCTACATTCTACTTGATCTAGTAACGAATTCACTTTCAAGTGAATACCAGTGATAAAGCCTTAACCCACAACTGCCAACCAGACGAAACCTTAGGCAGCCGCTGCCTCCAGTACAGTATCGTTACAGGTGGTCCAAAAGTAGGGTACTAGACTTGCTAGAGTATATCATATTGGATGATTAGGAAAAGAAAAGAAAAGCCACAGCACGTCATCGCGAATTATCACCATTTCCACTCTTTTATCAACACTCACTCATCCTTAATAATCGCCTGCTTTAGAAATCTAGCAACCTCTCCTCGTGCAGATGACACTTCATTCATGAACAAGATCTCGACTCGGGATTCCAAGTCTGGAGTAATTTCTTCGGCCTTTTCATTCAAGGCTTGCTCAACCGGAAAACGTCGCCTCTCCTTCCGATTTCGAAAAAGTTGTGCAAGGTTTTGTGCTAAATCAGTTTTGGATTGTGATCGCTCGAAGTCAATCAACATAAATCCGTCCATTTCTGCATTCCACAACATGTTTGGTATTCGTGCGTCTCCATGAAATATCCCAGCATGATGGACTTCTTCAACTGATTGAGTCACCAGGATATCTAACCTCTTCTGATTCATATGTTTCAGGATCATATCCCTATCCAATTTTTCTCCAGCCCACGAGAGAATAATCATGTGGACTATTTGCACTCCGATGTCATAATAGTACGGATGAGCAAGGTTTATGCTTCCTAAGCAAACTGGTACTCGAATGCCTTGAATTGCTAATAACCGCTGATATACCTGGTGCTCGTGCTCAAGGTCTTTTATGAAGGCTGCCACCGTTCCCTTTGCTACCACAGTATAACCATGTGAAGTCAGTGTGATTTTGAACAAAGCACCACGAGCGCCCTCTACCCCCAATGGATAGCAATCATTATCTCGATTGCGTTTAAGTTGTCGATGTAGAAGGGTGAGAAAAGTTTGCCGGTCAAGTTGATGTTGATTGCTCTTTAAGTCCTTCACACGATGGTCCGATACATTAGGACAGAGCATATCCAAATTCCTTCCTTCTACAAGACGTTTTAAGCATAATTGGGTACAGAAGGGTCAGTTTCGAGCATCGTTCTGGGAAACGTTTGCATTTTTAAAACGATTTCCTCGATCTTGAGGTGGATGTTCATTGTTGGTGGGTTGAGTTCTGCGACAAGAAGGTGTAACCGGAGGCTCGAGGACAGTGGCATAAGATGGACCTGTATTGGTCTCATTGCAAGAAGTCGAAGGTTCTCTGCGTGTGCTCCGACTACGCTTTTTATTGCCTGGTACCATTTTGAACTGGTCAACCGGAAAATATGCTTTCGTACGGTAACTCGAGGGTGGCGGATTTTTCCGTACGTTCTCAGGTATCGTGCGAAGAACAGCTTCATAGTTCACATCCCAGGTATTGAGGATACTCATAGCATTCTCACACCATATTTGACTCGTTGGCTCCGACTCCATTGCCAACAAACTGAATGCCAAGACCTGGTTAATTGCAGTACGATCGACGAACTCTTGATTTGCGTGCATTTCTACCGCCACATCAATTTTAGGCTCGATCAAATGGTAGTACACGGTCCCCGGGTCGTCGAGTTGAATATGAAGGAAAATGAAAGCTTTGCTTGTTGTAATGTAACCATATTGTACTCTACTTTGAATCATATATGAGAATTTTTGCGCTATTACAGACGCCACTAATCTATCAGCATGATATTTAAAGTGCTCTAGGTTATCGATCTCCTGGTCATTCTCGTCCTTGATTTTGGCTGTGGGGACGGAAGGATTACTCATAACAGATTTGATATCCATCTCCCGGAGACTAAAATGAAGACTGGAAAGACTGAGCTTATGAGGGGCTTTGTATTCCACTACAAACGCGAGTTTTCGAAGTGTGCCATCATCATTTTCACGTGTATATACACATGTTTGGTCACGTCGTAGACCACTAGTAGGAGGTATCGAATGATGAGGTGTTGAGGACTGTGAACTCTGGATTCTCTGAGAAACTTCTTCGCCTCTGTCACTCAATCCATTAGGATTACTATCGAAAAGAACCCCAGAACGAACATTAAATTCGTTTTGTATGGAATCAATGGATTGCAAATGCTGGATGATAGCCGTAACAGGGTATTCTATGGTCTCTGTGTGAAGGAGAACAATACCTGCTTCACTTGAAAATTTTTGGGATGTCATTTTTTGTCCTAGTACCTCTATGAAATGAGAGCTTTCAAAGATCCTCTCATCAGAGTCTTTGTATGCCAACTTCAAGCGCTGCTGAGTGTTTTGTTGAATAAGGAGGAAATCATCCCATGGACGGAGGTGGTTTGGAAAGAGTTTGCCTTTTAGATTAACCCACTGGGTAGCAAATGCTTTGTCCGTCTGAACAGATATTGGTTGGAAGAAGTGTGTATGGCACAGTTCAAGATACTCGGCAAGAGTAGTTCTGCGTTGGGACCGATCTTTCTCATCAGCCCGGTTTTTTTCTTGTTCAGCTCGAGCATTAGCCAAGCGAAGTTGTTCTTGAAGTTCTTCCACGGTAGGCATTTTGATTTTAGGGGAAAACACAGAAAGCAAGATGCACTTATATGTATGGTGATATCCTTTGAAGGTGTGAAGATAGGAAGCGCAGATATGAATAAAACGATGAATAAGAGGGATGGTTAAAAGGGATAAATATATCAACAAGTAAACAGAGGAGATAAACAAATACGCGGATAAAAAGAGGATAAGATAAGCAATTATTGTGCGAATTGCCGACTAACTTGAACGAACCTCTTGATGCGCATCACCTCAAATACTCAAATAATACTCAGTCGAAAGAAAGGTATTGAGATTTTGAAAACTGGATTTTGAAAAAATCGATTAGAACTATCCATAGTTGACAGATAAGAATTAAATAAGTACCACTATAACTCTGATCAGCCACAACACCTTCCCTTTATAATATACATAGATTGATCATTTCATCCCTATTCTGAAATTTGTCTTTCTACCCAATTGTAGACTCCAAGGCCAAAGGAATGATCCTTAAGAAGAAGGGTTCTCTTTCCAGATAACAAAATGCACCAACATATAACGGACCGGTACTCCGTAGTTCTTTAACCTTCTGTCGTTCGCTGCAAGATCTATTGCGAATCATGTTGCCAAGGCAACTAATCAATGTCTAACTTGGTGTTTTGCGGGGAACCTTGTATCGACCCCAGAACGTATCCACTAATTTAGCTAGGTTAAGTATGTCATCTTATGTAGACCCATCTATACATACTAGCAAGTCCTACCCATTATAGTAGCAAGCGAAATATATAGAAAAAGAATGGTATATGAGAAAGATCTTCATTCCTGATTTAACAAAAGTAAAATGCTACATAGATGTATCAGTAGCGTAATAACAAATATGAGTAAAGCAAATGCAATCCTGAAAATTTTCACCGGGGTATCGTGGATCCTGTGAACTCCACCTCGAAACGTCTTAACCATTAATCAACTCGACCCACCCCAAACTCCCGAATGTCGTTCTCACACCCTTGAAATCAGAGCTTACTTCCTTGGCCGGCCTCTTCTCTTAGCTGCAGGTAGCTCTGCGTCCGCACTTACCTTTCTTGCAATTCCTTTCTTTTCCGCTTTCTTCTTTAGCGCCTCCTCAAAATCCTCCACCATATACGGGACATCGAATTCCAACATTTCCGCTGGCTCCCACGTGTTGTGTTTATGTTGCCATCCGTCCCACTTCACACGATATTGAACCTTGCCCCTGAACTTCCGCTTTTCCAGAATCGCTTCGACCTCGTGGATATCAGTCGCAGCATTCTGGACGCTATTCTCCCATTCCTCAATCTTATCCGGGCATGACTCCCTTAATCTTCCAATTGATTCCCAGGTCCAATCTTTCTGAAGCGGGTATCCTTTCCACTCAATAAGCAGTTGCTCATTTCCCTCACCGTCTATTCGCGAGGCTTGCACTTTACGAGGTTGAAAGGATTCTTCGGTGAGACCTTCGGTCGCATCGTCGCCCTCGGAATCATCGCTGTCTCCATCATCTTCACCCTCCTCTTTATTCTCGTCTTCTCTATCTTCTTGACCCTCATCTTCATCCTCGTTTTCGGCTTGTTCAATTGCGGGAACAATTTTCTTGGAGGAAGCTTTAGGTCTACCGCCAGCTTTTGAATGTTTTTTCGACGACACTGTAATATCAGTTTCTTTGCCAGGTGTTGCCATGGAACCGGCTGACTTTTTCGGTCTTCCTCTACTGCGCGAAGTCTCTTTCTCTGCTGACATCTCATCCCCCAATCGTCCCTTGCTGATTGGAGTGGGTTGTTGCCCCTCTCGCGATTTACCGTGCTGCGCAGTCTCCTCTCGGTGGATCTGAGAATTTTGTACTGCTGCCGTCTTCCTTGCAACTTGCTTCTTCGACGATTTTGGCGTTTTCGGAGACTTTGTTAGATCCGGAAGTGCCACTTCTCGCTGAAACTGGTTTTGAACCCCAGCTTCATCATCTTCGTTCTCTCCTTCCTCTACGCCAGCCCTGCGTCCACCCAATACCTCGTCTGCTGAGTCCTCATCTTCCTCCTCCGCATTTTCCATATCCGCAGTCATCGGCGCGACTGGTGCTCTGGGACTACCTGAATTGTTGAACTGAGTAACCGTTCCAAATGTCTTCCGGGCAGAACTTTCCGCCGGCGTTGCATCCTTCTCACCATTCTTTGCGATTTCATCGTTCTCCATTCCATTTCTCTTTCTTGGCCCTAGAGGACTTTGTTGCTTTGTGGCATTGGTTTTCTGAACCGGGGCCTTGAAGGCAGGATTCGTATTGTTTAATTTCGCCATTCTATCTGAGTGTCAACCGCTATCCCTTATGTATTGGTGACGTCTTGTCGTTCGTTGCGCCTGTAAAAAATCTCGTAAACTTCTTATCTCAAAGTGCTCGAAAGTGATGTAAGATCTTACCAAATGTTGACTTCAGTACCGTATCCAAATTGACTCAAAAAGCTGACTCTTAGAAATTCTTTATCATTAGCGTATGGGCCCTGATTTTTGAGAATATTTGCTGTGGGTGTAAACACAGAAATACTGTGTTGCGCAACTCTAAGATTCATAGGTGTGTTCGAGGATTTGGCGGGATGGATCCGGGTGTTACGCGGGCTTTATGGACGCGACGGAACGCGATGGAGCTGAAGGTGCTTAAGTAAGCGATAAAACGAAGCTCTGAAGTTGGGACATTGTAAGTTACAATGCGCTCTTAAACATGAATCTCCCATGCAATTCTTAATATTCTAGAAATTGAGGTAATCTTTGGCCTCGGAAAGAAAGGTCTACCAGGTCAAAGACAGTAGAACTTTTTCCCGTGGTCAAAGTTTTGTACTATCAAACTCGGTGTCTTTATTGTTCGAGCAAGAGATCGAACCACCCGGCTTTCATACAGTGGCCTCTCAAGCACGATTTGAGCATGATTCGAAGGGTGCTATCTTTACGGTGTAACACACCCTTTCTAGATATGTATTGGGATACCATAAAGAAGCTCTTCATTATACATGGTGCTTGCCAAATTCATAAAGATTTGAAACCTAGAGTATAAAGTTTCTATGTTATTCTTAAGGTCCTAAAATCGATGCAATTATTTTGCCTAGGGCCAAAGTAACAGCTCTTCTCGATCGGAAGTAATGGTCGCCGGAGAAGGTTCCTTCCTGGAAGATAACCATTAGCAGGATTCTAGCTACAGGTATTCTAGTGTCAAAAAATTCAAAGCCATTTCATTTCATCAAAGCTATGAAGCCTGGACACATGATTTGTCAAGTTTGGTACCGTTCTCTTCCATTTTGCATCATCAGGTCATGCCAGAGTTTTATCTTTGAGATGAGTCTTTTAGATGGCACTTGACATAAGGCCTCTATGGTGAACGATCGACTTGTGATAGAATATGACGAGGATGTTCACCGAAACACTCCCTCTTGCCAGTCCTCCTGCTCCAGCACCCCGCAGATTTTGAGGCGTTTCACGACTGCTGTAGAGGCTTGCAGAGGCTACTGGTTATTCTAACACTCGAGAATATGCTATTCAATTTTTAGGGTATCGCGCTGGGGATTCCATGCTTGGATTTCACGAGGTTCCGAGCGGGTAACAGGGTACGTATTCACGGTCTTGGGTCCAGCTCATTTTTTAAACGTCATAAGAAACAGCACTTCCGCTGTGGCTATCGTTAAATGGTTGATTAGCTGGTTATATGCTTACTAGAAATATTGCACTGTACCTACCTTCTGCTGCTAGTGAATGGCGAGACCTTCGTCATGTAATTTCAGGCAAAAATGGAAGAGAAAGATCAAATGGTAGTGATACGTAAGTTCGTCCGAGGTTACACAAAATTCATCAGCCATGCCAGAAACTATTCCAGAATTGAAATCGATATTATATGATTTGTGTATCTAACCCTGTATCTCAACTATGCCCTTTGTCTGTCTGACGCTTCAATATAAACCCTGAATACCAATCTATGTCCTGTATAAACTCGCTTTCGAAAAACAATGATTACTCTTCCTTATCCCCATTAATCAGGGGTTCCTTCTCACTCATCTTCAAATTGAGTCCGTCAAATTCGTCTTCAGATGTCACCACGCTATCCGTCAGTTCATCGTCTGATTGTGTAGCTGTTTCCCCTTCGGCTTCGCTGGCCGTACCACTTCGTACAAGTAGATCTTTCAAATCATCTTCACTCAAAATACTCTCAATGCTACCTCTTCTCACATTCTGTCGAGTTGCTCTTCTTCCAGACTCAATATTTCTTTCGACTTTTAATCGATTGGCAATAAACATTAGTTTTGGGAATACACTTTGCTGACCAACGTGAAGCATCCTGCCCAATTGCTTTGGATTCGGATCACTAAGGATACGCCAAAAGTCCGAGATGATGGATCGTGGCCAGATTGTAATATTTCCCGAGAATTGTTGAAGCCATATTTCACTCCAATCCTGACCCAAAGGACGTGGTAGTAACTCAAGGTGGCGTACTACTTTCAGCCATTTCTTAAGATCGAGTTTGAGATATTGTTCAGTGGCGCTTCCAAGGAATCCACCCCTCCAACCTCTACCACGTCTATGAGTGACTGGTTGACCGACTGAACCTCGTGAAGAGAAGAAAAATAGATTAATATGAGGATTGACCTGAGAAACGATGCTAAAGTTGACATTGAAGTGTAGGTTTAGTGCTTTGAGAGGAATATCGGTCCGTAAACTCCCATCTTTCCATTTGTGACCAAATGAGTATGGTGCAAGAGTACCATCTCGTTGCTTCATCATAAGAACTACGGGGTTCAAAATGCCAGGAACAGCCGCTGAAGCTAGAACTGCTGACCATATAACACAATCAGGACTTGTCAAATAATTGGTCAATATGGTAGGACTGTGAGGATCAGCAGGAACGCATGACACATTAAGGATTCGGCCAGTTCGTTCGTATGCTTCACGGAAAGTCATGCTACCTCGCGTAAACCAACTGCATCGTCGAGCCCATTCTACTGAGTCGAATCTGGCTCCTGATTTCCACCATCTAGGCACCCAAGTAGTGAATGGCTCCGAGCAGGCATTGATTCGACCAGCTAGAGCAGGGACAAGCAACGCCTTTAATTCATCGTTGGTTCTTGTGGCGACTAAAGCAGCTACTAGAGCACCCCCTGAAGTCCCTGTTATCACTTCCGGCAAAAGATTCGCATCTAGCAATGCTTTAATAACTCCAAAATGGTAATAAGCAAAAGATGCTCCACCAGAAAGACAAAGTGCCGTGCGACCATAATTTGTGTGCATCCGTTTGAAGAGTGTACGCTTTTCTTCATCTTGGAGTAGATCAGATTTTGCCAGAATTGAAACACCTCTCTCGACTAAATCGTTTCGTCAGTTGATTTTTTGATGATGGGGCGCAAAACTTCAATCTACCTTCATCAACGAAATTTTGTACCAAATTCTTCGTTCCGTAATAAGTTTGGGAGTATAATCTTGAATTTTCTACTCCCACAAAATTATTCTTTACGCATGCCTCGATTAATGCTTTCAGGTCCTCAACTGCTTTTGCTTTTGTCGCAGCACTTCCGTTGGATGACTTTCCTGCTCCATCCTCTTGTTCGATTCTCCGTCTGCACTTTCGAATCTGTTCCAAAACTCTTCGCACTGTCTTGGAATCATAGTAGGCGTATTCATCCTCAGCTTTCCACTTATCGTTTCCTAGATATTTATCCAATTCTTGTGCTTCTTTGACCCAATCGCCGTAGTTCGTGGTGCTGTACAGTCGTTTCCGCAACTGATTTCGTTTGCCCCTCCACTGTAAAACCGGGTAATTAGTACATGAATTGGAAACCAAAGCCCCAAAACCTCGAGACGACATGCCGCCGCCACACAACATTTCTCTATCTCCGCATAAGTACTCGAGCCAGGAACCACTTACAGCAATGAAATGCTCATATGTCCAAATATACAATCTCGTCACCAAATATGACAATCCTAACCCCCCAATCCACATAAAAACCACTCCCAGTAATGGCCATTTCAAAATGGAATATAGATATCCTTCTCTCGTCTCATCTTTACTTCTTCTCGATTTTCTACCTGCCTTCCTCTTCTCTCCTTTCCTTTTCCCCCTCCCGCCTAACCTCGTAGGATTCACCGGAGCCCAGTCGTTCTGGGCAGTAATGAACAAACTTCCCCTATCTCCCGGTGTATTTGATCCACTCCCAAGTGCAACTTTACTATTTCTCCGTATATCTATACTGCTGCGATGTGGTGTAGATGGCTCTCTCGGACTCTGAACTTGCGAATATACTGACAGATCATCTGAACTAGGACTTGGATCTGGTGCGCTCAGCGCGTTGGCAAATTCTTGGAGGTGTTCTTCAGAAATGAATTCCCGGTGGAAATCGGGAAGGAGCGATTCATCGTAGCCTTCTGCGGAGAGTGGTGATGGACCATCTGTGTTGTGGCGGAGATCCGCCATCTTTGAGTTGTTGTCGAATAATTGGCTGTGTTTTCAGGAGAAGACAGGTAGTCTATGTATCTTCCTGCATATATGTGCATTAAGAATGGGGGGTTTTCGTATCTCACATGCGAATGAAATATGGTTATAGTATGAAGTATTATGGAAAAGTGTGGGGAGAATATGTTAAATTATGTTGGGTGAGCCTCGCATCCAAAAATAGTTTATGACGTAGATATGCTAGTTTTCTTAGCACCCATGGATAAGTCAGACTCACATTCTGGCTTCTAAATTACTACAAATACCCGAAAAGTTTGTATTTTAGGTAGCCATGGGGAGTTACAAGCCTTGAAAATTACTTATGGGGCATCTCCAGCACCACTAAGACATGCACAAAATCATATGATGCCATGGCCTGATCACTAAATGTCTTGGTCTTCCAGGACTTTAATATCTAGCATATTCACGAAGTTCAGGTGCACGGGGCTCATGATATCTGTATTGAGAAAGATAAAAGTCTTGATCGCGATACTATGCTGGTACAAACATGTTGGCCGGTTTGGCTCCGGAAGTGAAACTCTCATGAGCTCCCAGAACCTACCAAAAAAGCATTGAAAAAAACGACCTTTGCGTAACTCCGTCCATCATAACAGATCTCCATAAGAAATCGTCCCCATCATCCCATATACCTCCTCCCCTGCCACTCCACCTCCATTATTTAGACATATTGCGATAACCATCTAATACCTTCACCGTAACCTATATCCAGAATTAGTTTAGGCCGTGGTAACTTTCGCACAACAAAGGACGCACCTTGTCTCATAACCACAGAGCACATGAATACCTCAATAGGTCTGATACCCTCGAGAGGAACCTTGCCCTTTCCAGTAGTTTGATATAATCCCAATTCGTGTCTTAATTGGTCCTCGCTGATAGCATCTGGGTGATCGATCTTGTTTCCGAGGATAAGGAAGGGTACTTTAGAAAGGTCCTCCATTGACAAGAGGGCATCGAGCTCGGCTTTCGATTCGACAAAACGTTCATGATCTTTGGAATCGACTAAGAAAACGATACCGGAGACTTCTGGGAAGTAATCCTTCCAGAGACGTCGAGCTACATACGTATTAGCTTGATACTCACCATTTCAGCATTGCAAGAACAAATACCCTGTTGATGTCCTCCCAAATCGAAAGTTGTGAACTTGACATTGCCGATAGCAAGTTCCTCGGATGCTGTCGCATGGTTAGTGACTGATGACTACGTGTGCTCTGCGCCAATGTGCGTGAGTTAGAGGTCCTTACTAGGATGAAGAGTAGGTTGAAGAATGGCAACTCGGTCGTTCTGGAAGAAATTTTTGTCAGCAATTGTCTCTTATCCCTGAATACGAGAACAAGTTGTCGCTCGATTTAAATCCAGCATCCTCCTAAGCTAATTTCTTCCAACGGACCTTCAACATATGTAATAGAGTCGTCTTTCCGGCATTGTCAAGACCGAGAAACAGAAGTTTTGCATGCTTATTCAAGAGTCCCAAGGACGCAAGAGTATCCCAAACTATTTAGGAAATAATATCAGCAAGCTGTCAAGATGTGAACCACTTCATCTCCAATTCTTTCCAGGAGCTCTACATACACCAATCGAGGAGCCACATATTGTTTGATATTAAATTAGATTATCGAAATCGAAATTCAGGTACTCTCACAGGTTGTGGTTGATGAAAGTCAAATAGTTGAATCTAATATTGAAAGTTCATAGATACGTGGATGGATTTGGCTCTCATAAACCTGGCCGACGCTAGTAATGTATTTAACCTTATTATTGGGGCATTAACACATTAGTGCGCTACTCATAATATCTGTGCCACAACACATGTTGGAAACACAATTGGGAATTTGAGAATCGAAAGAATTAGCAAAGGGACAACTTTCCCAGTTCTTTAAATCTCTTCGGAACTGAATTCTGTATCATCGAGAGTTGACTGACCTAGTCTGTGGATCCAGTTACTTAGCGGGCAAAGTAGCAGCGTTAGATTGAGTAGGCTAATGATGGTTCAGTTCACGTCACCTTTTGCGATATACTTCCTCGGAACATTCTACAAATATCAATATCAAAAACGATTTTTTGGTCATACTGGCAATAGCCTCATGCTCGCCTGCACTCTTTTCAGATTTACTGAATGTCTATCTGATGGAAGAACAAGTCACCCGAAAACACCAATCAATGTCAAGCAAGGTTAGCTAAAGTCTTGTTTACAAGATTCTGATTGGCATTCTATTATGGATATACAATTGAATTCCATCACCAAGGACTGATTCTATTCATCTAGTCCCTGTTGTAAGTGCAATTCGTGGGAGAAATTCCCGAGCATTATCTGGATATGTAGGGATAGCTTTGATCTCGAAATATGGCCTTCCCTCCCCAACAGCCTAGGACCGCTACATCTTCTATTATCTCATCCCTTGCTTAGTCCCCTCCTGTGTTGGTAATTGGTCTCTCTTGATGCATCCAGTTTCCCCTTCTGCTCCCTTGTCTACCCCGACTACTCGAGTATATGAATGTTCGACTGTTGGCTGTTCGATCCAATCTACCTTTTGTCTGCTTCGATGAATACGATCTACTGCGCCGGGCAACTCATCATTTCACCTCTAATCGGGTAGCCAGAGGTCGCATTCGATCATAATACAGGGGTGACTCATCATAGAAGAAGATTGAGCCCTAATACGCTTTCATTCAGCGCATTCTAGATTATTCTCTCTTTGCTTGGATATTCGACCTGAAAAAAGCGACTAAAATAGAAACTTGACATGTTCGGGGAGGAGCAGAAACGGAGCAGATAGCCCGTTTCTTTAGACACTGGGCAATAGCTGTAATGGAACACTGATTTATATTATCATAAATTCTTACTGCTTCCCGAGAAATGTAAGTAGTACAGCTACAAAGTATCACCGGATGTAGCACAAATAACTGTATATACCTACCCATTAGTAATATTCTTGAGTACCTACAAGATACCTTTTAAGGTATGCGATAACGGACGGGTGCTGCAACAATACTTCAAGCCATACTAGTGTCTAGAGTAATAATTCCTAGTCAAAGAAAGAAGGAAACGAATGGCACATCATGATGAACACAGCAAAATGAGCAATGTTAATTGTGAAAACGATATGGCGAAGAATGCCAAAAAGCTCCATCCAAAAAAGGTTAAAAGAGATTATATCCAAATTTGATTCTATTCAAAAATCGCCTCATCCAAAAAATATTCAATTCAAAAGAGGCTCCATCTAAAGAGGTCTCCATCCAGAAGGGGTTTCGTTCAAAAGAGGCTCTAATTATCCAAAGAACGCTCCGCTCAAAAATACAGAATGTAAAATAGCAACAATGATCTCAGCATTAAGTTATTCCTATTTACCTTTCAAGAATGAGTCAAAAATGCAAAACGACACCTGAGTGATTCGAACACTCGCTCCCGAAGGAAATGCCTATCTTTGTTTTACACAATAGCAGGGCATCGCGTTAACCACTCCGCCAAAGTGCCAGGTTATTTCACAACAAAAGGGCGCGTGTATGCATATATATTCAAGACACTGAATAGCAAAATCCAGATTCGCGATTACTCACCTTGTCTTAAAGTCAACGGCCATTCAACATCACGATTCAATAAATCAAAGTCTTTTATTTTTCCTCCCAGCACGCGTTTGCATATATATGCGATATTATAAAGACCAAAATTCTACTCGCCAACTAACAGCATCTCCGTACGGGACATGTTTCAGAAGACATTATCGTTCTCACTATCTGGAAAATCCTTTTTCATGAGTTGAGGTGCAAACCTCATGCCCACGATTCATAAGTATACACTAAAGATGTCCCCATTACTTTCTAGCTTCGAAATCAAAGAATTTCAAACATAAATCCACCAGTTGCGATATTTTGGAGTAGCATTTCTTTCAGTTGGTTCGTTTTCTTATTTCCTTGATCGCGACACACGTCCTGATAGCATGCGTATTACTAAGAGCAATGCGGATTCAGAAGGCAGATGGACATATGCGAACATCCAATGTGGAAAATCTTGTCAAAAGAGAAGTTTCTTTCAAGCTTCCAAATAAGAAGCTGTTTTTTGTCTAAAAAGAAGTTTATTTTTCTCTAAGCCTCAAACCTCAAACCTTAGTGAGTGATTGGCATACGGCAGAACGACCTGAAGACCATCCATACATAATATCTGCGAGTTTATAAAATTCGCGCTCATTTCAGATATGCAACAAAACTTCCTAGACTCTTAGTCCTTTGTCTGCGTAACAGCAACCCACCAACCACAGTTCTTTTCGAAGAGAAAGTCACGGGATTGTTGAACAAAGAACTTCGCTTTTCCTTCATTAGTATGCTTAGACGTGCCATGGAAGGCTGCCGAAAAAAAATTCCCGGAATCTGCTATACTCAAAACTCTCCACAAACTCTCCATCTAGACAAAGAAAGGTATGGAAATTGAATTTTGTTGCACATCTCAAATCTGAAACATGTTTCCCACCTGTTCAATCAAGAATAAAGATATCCTTTGTTTGATGTCTCGAGGAGCCAAAAATCCTGATTTTTGAGAACCGGTTAGCAACGAATGGACTTCAGACGTTGTTTCTGCCAAAAAATTTGTTGCTTGCCTGTCGGAACGAAAGTTCCTTTGATGAAAAGTGTAAGCTGAGTTTGATGTGAAAAAGGAAAGAATAGGAGATTCTTATCCATTGAGCGTTTGGATCACGGTTAAGGTTTCCTAGGGACGTCAAGTTGACTTGGCCGTCTATTGCATTTCCAAGCCAGCGAAATCATAGAGCTTGATGCGTTATATCTCTTCTGTCTTCATTAGTGCTGCATTGTTATTGTTATTGTTGTTGTTATTGTTGTTGATGTCCTGTCGTATGTCATTTAGTCCGTCTTTATTTCTCTACCATGAGTCACACCTCCGATGTGCAACAAACAATTTGTGGTGTTTTATTGGATGGGTGGATTTTATGAACGAGATATCAAGTGATACACTGAATTGGGACAAGCAAGACAAATATGGATGAGCTAGGAGGTTTGTAAGTTAAGATGTGAGGTGCAAGGCGTAGGATTGGATAGAGACATATTTGTCTTCCGTGCTAGGCTACCTGGTTTTGATATCAGATCATTTGTGAAGATAAGTCTTCCGGAATATTACAGACACTCTAAATATTCAAAAGCCTTCCGTCAAAAAAAAAAAATTCTCAACAGTCACGATCAGGATCAAGATGAGTATTCCCGATGCTGTTTGTGCGCCAGCTATTCTTTATGGCGCATACTTCCTCAAGATCAGAATTATAAGAGTGTCACTCAGTAGATGTACATTATATTGCTCTTCTCGCATTATTTCATACAGAATCCACTGTGTTCATTTGAATTATCACACATCTTTGAAAAAATATCTTCCCTCAGAATATCCGCTCAACAACAGCTCGATTTCAACAGTCTGTATCTCCAAACTCAACAAATAATATTGTTGGTTTCACTTCAATGTCACGATTTTCATAGTACTATTATATTAATGCGTTCATTCTTGCATTCTACATTATGGGATATGAGGACTATCTATGTACAGTGAGAAGGGGCTAGAAGTCCCTGGTTCTACGACTTTCTTTATGAGGTTAATCACATGACATTTCATCGAATACTAGCCAAGTCATTACCTTGGAATTTACTAAAGTCTTTACTAAATATGTTTCCGTATTCTTGTCATGAATATATAGTATATATTCCTAGCCCCTATCGATTGATAACTAGACAAATTCCGACAGGCCACGTATAAATGGTGCATATCTATCAATCTAATACAATAAGGACAGAATGCCATCGGGCTAACAAAAGATCTCGAGAAAATTTCTATTTTCAAATGCTAAACATCCCTGCCAGATGTTCCCAAAGCAGCTTCTTCCCATTTCTCAGATACTGAGTTAATACTTTGGTAATACTGAAAGTTTCATTCACAGTTAGATAACTAGATAGTAAATGCTAGTATCAAGTTATCAAACAAAATTTATATGAATAACACGAAGCCATTGTTAATAACCGACCCAAAAAGACTCTTACATCTCTGAATGGGTATTCTTAAGGTCCGTTTACTTTTGTTGTGCATCTATAAATATGTGTATTTTCCACTTTGGGATTAATTTATAGGAGTGTCGCTCAACTCATAGTATTTCAGTTACATATGATAGATTGGTTAGTGCGTCTCACTAGGTGTCTCGATTATTCTTGTTGTCTTCGTCTATGGAAAAGCTGGCTGGTGTTGTGCATGAAGTTATTACGCTACGGCGTTTGAGTGTTGTAGTTAATATTGATACTGGTGGAATTTCTAGAGGGGGTTGTGGAAGCTTCAGGACGGTGTATAAAAGTATATATGGGAGTATGTTAAGAAAAACTGGGATTGCTTTCATATAATAATACATTAAGGAAAATACTTTATTATACAACGGCTAAAGCGAAGAGTCACGAATGTCAATACCCATTGTCTTTTTACTTCTCGCTTCGAGCTCAACGCGAGCCACGTGCAGTTTCAACATCCTTCTACCCCCTTCACTAAACCGCCTGAAATTCCCCCTCGATCTCCACAATCTTCTCCACAGCTTTCTTATAGCCATCTTCATTTTCCAATCTCTCAATATACGCAAACAATTCCGGAAATTTCTCCTCCGTCAATCCAGCACGCTTTTTAGCAGCTACAAGTGGAAATGACATGAGTATATCTGCACCGGTAAGATGCTCACCACAGAGATATTTTCCATCGGATGGGGAAGTCTGGATTTGTTCATTGAGAAATGTGAAATGGGTGTTGAAATTTGGTTCGAGGAATGTGGAGAGGACTTTGCCGGTTATCATGCCGGTGATGGGACGGATGAAGAAGGGGAGGTTTGGGGAATCAATCACTGGTTTGTTAGTGTTGTTTGGGATAATGAGGGAGAGGGGATGAATTGGGCATGAGAAGGAAACTTACAGGACATGATGAGTGAGACGACGAGGTATGGCATCAGGGATCCTTCGGCATAATGCATGTAATAGCGGAACCGAGTCCATTCCTCTGTTTCGCCACAGAGGGTATTTTCTTGACCAGGTTTCCAACGCGTGGGAAGGAGAGTGCTTCCGTGGGTGAAGTGGTCGAGAAGATATCTCGGATGTGTTAGTATGGGCTATAAATGAATTTCTCTGAGTAATTAAGGAAAGAGAAATGATGAAGTCTAACATCCCCCTAATCATAAGCTATCAAATCATGATTCAAGAACTACTCGAACCCTCCATCTTCTATTCCATCTCCAAATTCATAAATACCCCAGCACCGCCTCAAATCCCAAACACAGCATCCCCGTTGAAGAAACCCCAGAAAAACTTACTCGATGATAAAAGCACTCTCAGCCAAAACGACCGGTTCCTTAGCTCCAGGAGGGAGAATAGTAAGAACGGGAGATTTTCCCAATGCATGAACTTTCTTCAGTTCAGAAGGTGCATGTTTGGAGGGAAGTCTGTGGATGATTTCTAGCTCGTAGTCTAGTTTTAATTCTTCTAGGAGCCAGAGGATGCGCTGGGAGCGGGATTGGTTGAGCCTTAAGATAGTGGGTTAGTGATATTGGGATTGGAATTGGGATGGGAGAGATGTGGATGTGGATAGATCGATGAAGAGGAAATGGGGATGGAAGGGGGGGTGGACAATTTCTACCAGTAGAGTTTGATTTTTGGTTGCTCTGATGAGGGGTTCTCTGAAGCCATGGTTGATCTGGTGTATTACGATTGTAATTGTAACTATACTTGATAATTGATAGATATGATAAGACTATAGGAATGTATTTGAAAGACAATCAAGATTGATACCAAAAACACAAGTGAAAGGAATTCAGACATCCTCTCTTTAACTACCTACCTAGATAACTAGCTCCCCTTAGCCCACCTCGGTCCAATCTCTGATAAAACTGGAGAATAGCAAACCATTCGTCATTACTTGACCACAAGCAAGGGAATCATATGTAAATCTCATCCCAGCATGCATCAGCACGGATCAGATCGGGCAAACCATTTTTCCGATCAGTCCTAGCTCAACATCATGAACCTCAATCCACATGCTTGATATTTACGATCAAACGGGATAACTAACAGCACAAGTGCTTTGATATTTGCAAACTTTATTCACAATGGCGGGACATAATCACTGTTTGTATTATTCTGCTGCGAATTGGTGATTGGGCTGACTGGAGATAGCACTCGCGATGGACCCCGCGTTGGTCAAATATAATAGTATGTTCTACAATTACACCATATCATTCTGCCGCCGCATACAATGGTTACGACAATAGACTTGGCAGTATGGGAGATACTAATGGGAATAGATATGTTCACAAACCGCCACAAGTACTTTCGATGGACGGGTCGTACTGCTGCTATCACATTTGTGTTTGGAGCGTTTGTTCCCAGTATTGTTGGTTATTTGGCTTATACGACTGATGTAAGACTTGATATTCGATCCGGAGGTTGAAGATTCTGCGGAAGAAAAATGGAGAGCTAATATGGAGATAGGGAAAATGGGAAATGAGAGGAAAGCGTAGAGGCGATGTTATTGCGGAATTTTAAATGGAAGAGAGGAGATGGAGGAAAGGGACAGAAGGCAGGAATTAGGCTCTGAGACGAAAGGCTAGAGGCTGTACATATGTGAGGGGAGATATCATGAGAGTCTTTATGGGACAATCGAAGTCTATGGAATTGAATTTGCATTCATCACCGTGGTCCAAAGCATGCCTGGATGATCTGGGTATTAATATTTTTGCGGTTTGGTAATTACCGACATGACTTTGGTAGGACTGACCTAATACACTTCTAAGTTACAACCGACATCCTACATACATTGCTGGTAGTGCGGGAAGGTTGCCTAAGGAGTTGAGATGATGGATAAAATATACCATTCACTTCCAAAATCGCGAAAAATCGAGCAAAAGATGAAATTATAGTTCCAAGAAAAAGCGGCGCCGTCGTTCGTAATAGCATGGTAACGGTATCGTACGTCGCCTCATACTCTCAATATCGACCTCTTCCACCTCCAAAGCCCCCTCCACCTCCACCTCCATAACCACGACCTCTTCCTCCAGATGGACCATCCGGTATTCTCTCACCTCGTCTCCATTCCCCACTCGGCACACCACCTGCTCCTGGTCCTTGACCCATACCCTGACCGAATCCTCCACCTCTTGAGCCCCCTCTTCCTCTATACCCGCCCCCAAATCCATTCTGTCTAGGAGCCATCCCCCCTCTACCCCCAAACTCACTCGTCTCGGATCTTCCACCCGCAAACCCCCCTCTCGATGGACCACTAGGTGGTGGCGCAACTCCTCCATCTGCCATGGGTGGTAAGATCGCACAGCAAACATAATCACCAATGACAAACCTCGCATCCTGCAACGTCTTTTCCGGTTCCCCCATCAAACTCCCCGCCATAATTCCTCCCGAAACAATCGCGCTCTCTTCTTCATCGGGCAGAATTCCCGGTCCCCCATCCCCAATCACGACACTACCCAGATCTTTAGTTATATATCTCGCTGGACCACTAGCAGCAGGTCGTGAATCGGGAAATATAAGACGAAATGAAAGACGAGTGCCAATCGCCGGATCAGGCAAAAGATCTGGAAGCGCAGTTGCTAGTAAATGTGATAATTCGCGCAAAGTACAGGATTGCCATGTATATATATTAACGTGAAGAGGTAATTCACCGTGCGGACTAAATTCCTCGAGTCTGGTTTTCACGTTAATAAAATGAATATTTTGGGAAGGCTGAGATTTATTTACGTACCTGTGAAATGAACCGCTTTTGTAGAAAAGCTTGAGATGGAATGGAACGGTGATATTGCGATCAATTTTTGTCAGTGTAGTCGTTGCCATAGCTGTATTATTTATTGTATATATACTATGGTGCGTCTAAATGAGTATTCTTGGTGTTGGGTAGAGCTGGTGGTGAAGAAAGAAGTTCTCGAGGCAAAATCGAGGCCTTGTCAAAAAATGTTCAGCCTCGGGTTTGTACACTTCATAATCTGGGGAGTAGAACATCTATCATCTATAAACAACAATCCAACCTTTCAATCAATTCTATCTTTCTACCAAATCCCACAAGATCTCCCCACGAAGTATACGTTCATAATAATCATAAATCTCTAATTCAATCACCATAAATCCAATATCCTCCGGCGCAAACCGCCATAGCCTTCATCATGGATTTCGCATCTCTAATGTCCAAGGAGATATCCAAAAAGACCGAATCCTCCGCCGATACCTCTAAAAAATATATGAAACGTTCCGAAATCGAAGCAGAACGACAAGCCAAATATCTCGCAGAGCAACGCGCCATTGAAACCGAGCGCGAAGCCAAATTAGTACAAAAGCGCAAACGCGAGGAGGAAGAGGAAGAAGCCAATAAAGCGCGCGAAGAAAAAAGAAGGCGATTAGCTGAGGAATCGAGAAAACAGAGGGAGGAAAGAGAGGCGGAGGAAGAAAGGAAGAGGAGGAAGAGATTGGGATTACCGGAGTTGGTTAAGCAGGATGTGGAGGAGGTGGAGGAGGATGATATCCCGGATGAAGAGTTGATTCCCAAATTACGTGAGATGGGACATCCGGCGAAATTGTTTGCGGAGAATCATAAGCAGAGGTTGAGGAGGTATAGGAAATTGGGGGTGGTTATGACGACGGGGCCGATTCCTACGACGTTGGTACTGGTCGAGGAGAAGGATATGAAGGTGGAGACTGTGCCGAAGGATGAGGAGGGGAGGAAATACTTGTTTAGACAGTTGGCGAGTTATTTTACTATGGTTTTGACGGAATGGGAACAAGCTTTGGAAAAGGAGAAGAGAGATACTTTTGCTAGTAAAGCGGCTTATAATGCCATGGTGCAGAGTAAGGAAAATATGACTCCTGTAAGTTATACGTTGCATATCTTTTTCATCTCATGGTATTGTAGACTAACACGAAGGATTCATAGCTATTCCGCAAATTTGAAAAAGGCGATCTAGACGAAGGAATTCTAGAACCCATTGTAGAAATCGTCAAAGCTGCGCAGGAAAAACGTTACGTCGATGCAAATGATGGATATCTACGACTCAGTATTGGAAAAGCTGCATGGCCAATTGGTGTTACGATGGTGGGTATTCACGAGCGTAGTGCGCGCGAGAAATTGCACGAGACGGATAAGGGTCATGTAATGGGTGATGAAATTACGAGGAAATTTTTGCAAAGTATTAAGAGATGTCTTAGTTTTGCTCAGGTGAGATGGCCACCGGAGGATATTAGACAATTGATGGGTTAGATAGATTTTAATGGGGTATATAATTCTATTCTGGCGTTTTTATTTGGTCGATTTTCTTTCATGTGTTTGCTGGATTATTATGTTTGTGCGTCAAATGGAATTCGTGTTTCAATAAGGAGTACTTTAAAGCAGATGCCCGGCGGTTTTTATTAAATATCTCCTTCGCACTTCTAGCATATCCGAATACAGGTACTAAAACTAAAGGAGCTACTAAAATTACCATAATCATTTTCAACAATATAAAAGAATGAAAGAGTATATTTAGCGAGAAGTTAAAGGAGAGCTATACAGCAGTCCCAATATATAATCCACCCTCATTTGTATAATGAATCACTTCACTACATATCATATCAACATCACGTATATAAAGATCCCAAGTATTTCATACACAACATACAACACACCAAATCATGATGAATATCCATCCCACTAAATAATCCTACTCCTACTTAACACATAAATTGACTAATCTCACTCATCTCCACACTCTCTCCTTCCAGACTACCTGCTAGCTTCTACATCTACATCCATTCCATCCCCACTCATATAACTTCCATACCATAAATCCTTACCGCCTAACTCCAAGTTTCCTTCCCAACAAATATACTCACATCGATCAGTCTTTTAACCCTCATATATCTTTCTTGCTAATATATTCCTATTCCTATTCCTATTTCCAATTTTCCATCACCATCAATCCAATCTAATAATAGTTGCGATATTAACACGCTAGGAAATATCAAGGATATATGCCAATCATCAATCAGCTGAGGATAAACTCCTTTAATTCTTCTATTCATCCAATCTTTAACTTACTGATTAATGCGCAACAGTTCTGAAACTAGGATGGTAAGAGTTCAGCTCAACTTTTTCCTATTTCGACTTCGAGACATGTAGAAATCACTGATTGAGGATAGTTGAGTGGAGATCCACCAACCAACCATATATATAAACAAACACAGAATATAGGTAACCTCAACTTAAAACCCTCTCATCATCCATAAATTATAATTCAAGATATCGTATTCCATTCCATTCCATTCCATTTCATTTCATTCCCTTTCATTCAATTTCCAAAAAATGTAATTCTCATATCTCGAGTATCCATCCTGACACCAGTTTGCGAGAAATAACTCTATGGCAAAAGAATTACCATCTTTGCGGCTTTGCATGATACTAATATAATTTGCATTTCCTTCCGAGGAGTTCAACTGCACTATACACAATTTCCATCCACCAAGCATGTGTACATCAGAATGTGCTATTGGGAAGTTTTGATAAACTAGCATACGATAGGTTTGTGATAGATGAAATATCTTCTACTACGTATATCGTCATGGTTGAGGAAAAACACTAATGGTTTCAATCTTCAAAGGACGTTGTAGAGTGGAAACACTTTGGCACAGGCTTGTGGAGAATGTGTATTTGTAGATTACCGCACAATCAACAGGCAGCATCCTCTTATTTGTGGTTCACAGTTTGCTGGGTTCCTTCGATCACAAGGACTATAGCACAGATGGTAATTCGGCAATGATGACTGGTGATTCGACATCAGGGACTTGGAAAACTGTTATGATAGCAAGTGGCTTTGAGATTTCCTCTCTTCGTCAAGTTGGTTGTACTCGTCATCCCATAGTCTCGCACGTTTTCGAGTTGCAGTTGGTCAGGAATCTTTTATACTGGCTTATCAAAAAATATTTAACTGGAGCGAGAATCGTGTGAAAATTATCTTCAATCAGATTATGTTCCAGGAAAAAGGAAGGACTGCTGCCCCAGAAGTTCGGACAATTCCAGAAGCATTTTAGGGCGTCGAGAATGGTGAGAGTGTTCATGATGAGCTCTTAGATCCACTTAATGAAGCAGCAGATGGAGTTTCGCATCAAACAGTCGTGGTCAGACCATTGGGCCGGAAGATTGCTTGCTGACCTCTAACAAGTTCATGTAATGGCGGCTAGTTGAGGAAATGAGAGCATGAATGATGTGTTTTCTCACCCGAGAATGATAGATAAGTGCTAGGACCGAATGCGGCGTTGCAGGGCCGTTTCCAAATTCCTGAAGCCACATTCCCGCGAACGCTTTTAAGGGACTGCGTGGCCGTATGCAGGTTTATCGCAACATCGGCCCTTAAAAAGATATAGATTATTTGAGTGGAACTACTCAATGATCCACTTCAGAAAGATAAGGATATTTGATTGACAGATTGACAGATTGACGCTTGAGCTTCAGGCTATATGTGCTGCTTTCTCATTTTAAGCTAAATCATAATGCGGGGGATTAACTTTGATTAAAGTTGATTCTTATTGGCCTAGAAACTATCCACACCTTAGATTCTAGATTTATTGCTAATGACAACTGGTGATAAGACAAAATTATAAATTAGACTTGAGATATACGTGTAGTATTCGTGTAGGCTAAGAGAGGTAATGAAGGTGTTCAAGATTCTGGCGGGGTCGAGAGAGGATGGACGACTGGTGGTTACTGGAGGCAGTCAGAAGAGAGGAAGGACTTAAAAAACTGGCATGACCAAATTTGGTTCGAACAACTGCATCCGACTTGCATACATGATGTAAATAAAAATGATTACAATCATTGTGAAGTTGGTTTCAACTGAAGCTATTTTAATGATAGCACTGGAAACCTAATCGTTGATTGCTGATGCCAGACACTAGTCAGGGAATCATGTTAAGATCCAAAGCAATAAAGTTAGGGCAATGATCGAGACATAGCTAGAATGCTGGAAGAACAATGGATTGTATTATCATTGTGCCCAATATTGCCCAATCCTAAAACTTTTCTGACAGTTGGACAAATAAACATCATCGCCAACCCTCCTCCTTAAGAACTACTCAGAAAGGATTTAGGAGAGATCCTCAAGCTCCAAACAATTTTCAAACAAATTCATTTTATACTTAACAGACTAATAGACCCATGCATACACACTTATTTTATCTGGATGCGTACCAGATAATTGGGCCCAAAGCAAGAAACTAGTCTGTGCTCCAAGCTCCTCGACCATTCGAAAGAGACCCAGCTTAAGTGTATATTCATATCTTCAATCGAAGCGAAAGCTGCCACAACTGCAGGAATCCTATCATACATACAGTTGATAGATGTGGGACGCCAGCTGCACATACATACATGTGCTCCGTATATGTGAGTAAGAAATCGTTCACGAAATCGAACCAAAAATATCCACTTGGACCCCTCTCGTTCGTTCTAAAATGGGGAATGGAGATATCCCTTCATGCTGGAGATTTCTAGAAGTTTGGATTAGTTGACCTTCCTCGATGATTTTTTATGCGTTTTCATTCCATAGTGGATAGCCTAACTTAGCTGGGTAGAAATGAACTACTACTGTCGGTGAGCTATGCATTTGCAGTATGCATCCTCCGTACAGTGGCATGAGTTTAGCCGGTCCTGAACCATACAATTGTGAAGGACGGTATAGGATGACAAAGTAACGCCACCTAAAATCATTTGTCGGGCTTGCAGATAAGGTGTTGAATTGGGCTTGAGAAGTTGAGACATACATGAATGAATATATGAATGCATGAACGAAATTGAAAAAAAGATATTAAAAAATTGGATGAAGGGTGTTTTAGATTGACTTGACCGAGAGTTCAATCTTTGATGATTTTTTGTATCCTAGATTCGAAAAAGAATTATCCTTTAACCTTCTGCCTTCTTCCGTTGATGTTTCTATCATCAGAAGACTGATTATCATATTTGCAAACTGATAAACACTCTCATCAGCCCAACGGCATCTTGTGAAAAGAGAAATTGATAGACAGTGGGGTAAAGAGCATTAATGGGATGGATGGGAATCATGAAAGTGCGTACAACAATAACCAGGGTATTAAATTTAAATGTAAATGCGGGCGGACAAAAATGGATCTGGAGCGAGTGGTTCACCGGTGGTCTCCATCTCAACGCATCATTGTGGAACTCATCTCCAACACAGAAATGCTCAGCGATCCAACTATCCAACTATCCAACTATTGCGTCTTGACGAGGAAGTTCATAAAAGTTATCAAACTAGTTGGGCGAGGGAGGCAAATAGAGGTAGTACGTGGCAGCTTGGTGTTCGCGATGGTTAATTTCAGGAATAGTATGATGAAAAAGTTGATATTGTTCTTATCTTTGACAAATGGTTTGGGATGAATGATGATAAAAATGATAATGGAGGGGTTGAAGTCTAAGGCTGTGAGGTGTGAGTGTGAGGGGTAAGGGAAGAAGTCAATGGGCAACTAGGAGGTAACTACCCAGTTAGGTATCTACAGTATCATGTTTCATTGATGGTTGATAGTTGATGGTTGATGGTTGATCTAAAGTATCTTCGAGGAGTCGAATACGAATAAATTCTTTCCTTCCCCTTTCATCTTGTCTTTTCGCCTCGTCTTGATTCAAGCTACTTTATTCTATTCGCCTGTCCTCCTTTACCTAGGTACTTTACCTACTCACTTTACCTACTCACTTCCCTCCAATTCATCGTCTTGTGACCCTTTCTGTTCCTTTGGCACCTTTATTCCCCTACTATCCTCTCTCTTACCGCCAGCAGATTCCCTGTAAATTCATTTTCCCACTATAATCCACCAATCTGTCCACCATCCCATTTTCCCCTCCCCCAGCATTTCCAACTAATCCACGCTTTATCTTTTTTTAACCGAATGCCTGTCCCCGTCATACCTCCACTAACCTTGATAGCGTACCTACTTACATTTATTCCATTTATTCCATTTATTCCATCTACCTTCTAACATCTCCCTCCTTCTACATTTTTCCACAACCATCTCATCTACAATTTTTGTTCGAATTTGGCAGCTTGTCAGAATATCTAGGACTTCCTTTTCCATAACCCAAAATAGTCCTCATAAATTCAGACAATGGCTTCCCAAGGAGAAGATGTTTATGCAACGGTAAGTTATCACCGTCGTAGCAAGAGTAGGATGGGATGATACTGATGATTTGGTGATAGCTTCTTTTGACCGACACCTACCTTCCAGGTATTTTTGATGTCATTAAATCTGTCGGAATTTACTAACTAAACTCTCAAATAGGCGCTCTTGTATTGGCACATTCGTTACGAGATGCTGGCACTACCAAGAAAATCGCAGTGCTCGTCACTACTGATTCAGTGACATTTGAGAGTATGGCGGAGCTCCAGGTACGTTTTTGATCCATGTAATCTTCGAACTGTTTCTAATATATATTTCCAGAGAAACTTCGACTTTGTTATTCCTGTCGACAGAGTAGTCAACGAATCTCCAGCCAACCTTGACCTCATGGGTCGTCCCGACCTTCATTCTACCTTTACAAAAATTACACTATGGAAACAAACACAATTTAGAAGAATAGTTTACATGGATGCCGATATGGTGGCCCTCCGCGCACCAGACGAGTTGTTCGCTTTGCCAGACCCATTTTCCGCTGCACCAGATATTGGATGGCCAGACATCTTCAACACCGGTCTCATGGTCCTGGATCCAAATATGGGTGATTACTATGCTTTGGAAGCAATGGCACGCAGAGGGATCTCTTTCGATGGAGCTGATCAAGGTTTACTCAACATGCATTTCAAGAACACGTTTAACCGTTTGAGCTTTACTTACAACGTCACCCCTTCTGCTCATTACCAGTACCTCCCAGCATTTCAACATTTCCAATCGAGCATTAGTGCTGCCCACTTCATCGGAACGGATAAGCCATGGAAAGTGGGAAGACAAGCGAGTATTGGAGCCACACCTTACCACCAGATGACCGGAAGATGGTGGGCAGTTTATGACAAACATTACAAGCAAACCGTAAGCCGGGTTCCCTCAACCATGGAGGAAACTAATGTTTTTCAGTCGGCTACCGGAACTTCCAACGGCGGAGCACCCCTTATTGTACAATACCTTGTCTTTGGGGAATTCCAGCCCAAGACACAGGAGGACCATTCTCAAGGAGCCCAGTGTGAGAAATTTCAACATATTACTGCCGTTAATGATACTACTACTGCAGCAGAGGAACCAATCTATGAATATACAGAAACAACTTTTGAAAAAGGAGAAGCTTATAATCCCCCAGTACAGGCAAAATTGGATCAATCTCGGAACCGGGCATTCTCATATTCACCGTGGGATGCCAGCAAGTGAGTCTTGATTATTGGACATGGTAAGAATTATCTAACCTTTCGTAGGGCACCACCGCCACAGGATTCAAGGCCAGAAGCCTCGGATCTCCCCTCTACCCACTATGAGATGTCCAACGATGCTACCCCATTCCGAGCACCGAACCGTTACCCTGACCCTCCTAGCAACATGTACTACGAAGTACCAAAAGCCCCGAAATACCAAAGACCACCACCAATATTTCCATGGGAGGCTAACCCACCAGTACCCTCAAGAGTATTTCCTGAAGATGATTATGATGACACAGCAGTACCAGAAACCCCCATCGCCGGCTCGGTAGTCGCAACTACCGAGGATGAAAGAAGCATGCCAGCTACTCCTACAACTCCTACCATGTCAGCGGCTACTGATCCATGGCAAGCTTTTGCTAGAGGAAACGCATGGGATGAGGTTCCTGAAATTGAGCGATATATTGGAAACATATCAAAGAACCGCAAAGGCAACGTTCAAGTACTACAAGGATACGGATCAGGTATATCACAGATTTCCAGTCCGGCAGAACGTAGGCGTAGTATGAAGCTCACAGACTTTCCAACAGAGCTTGAACGGCCTAGTTTACCCGTGACCCCAGCGCCAGTTAGAACGCAGCCTAGTTTCTGGGGCGAAGAGAGAGAAGAGAGTAGCACCTTGCCTCCCGCAGAAGGAGTTCCAGCACAACAAGATTGGGTAAGCCTCTTTGATGAATTCAATGGAACTTTTGATGCCTTCAGAAGTCTCTTTGAAAACCCCAAGAGACTAGCCCTTGGCCCCCGTTCCTTATTTTACGATCTTGGAAAGCTTTTGCAACTTTTCAATAGACTATTGGATGATCTTGGGAAATTCTCACTGACACCGGGACAGGACCCAGCAGCTCAACTTGAAATGCTTGCTAGGCGTCAATCGGATGTTCTAGCCCATAAATTGGACCTATCCACCCGCGAGATGCCTTCCAGACCACTTCCTTACGGATCCGAACCCGTCACCCAAGGACTAGGTGGAGCTATTGAGGAACCTTCTTACCATGGTCCGGGAGCTATGTGGGAGAAGAATGAAAATTACGCCACAAAAGAGACTCCTTTACTTCCAAGTGAAGAAGAGAAGGATGTTTTGGAGACTTAGAGAAAGAATTAGGCCCAAGTGAGATTTGCACATCATATATCCATGGATATTGAGATTTACATGTTTCTACATCATGCGATTTTGCCTTTTGCTTTGCCTCATTTGATTTGCATTTCTAGTCGAGCATTTGCAACATTAGCATTGTGCTGTTAGCCATTTTGAGTTTACAGGCGCATTTTACAATGTAACCTTCGGTTTGCATTTACTTGTAAATAGAAACTTTGCAAATCCCAGATTTTATGATTTGTGATGGAATAGATGATTGCATAGGTGCTCATGGGGTTTTTGCTGGGAAAGGAGAAGAATAAAGTGGGAAGTTGAGGTTCAAAGATGCTTGCGAATAATATGGGTGTTGCATTTGATGGGTTGGTGCACAAAAATTTGATAAATATATGATGAATTGATGAATCGACGAGTTGATGGATTGAAGATGAAGTGAATATAATAGGAAATCGGCAAAATGGGTGGGATGTAATTATGGAGTGGGGAAAAGTCGGAAAAAGTCTAGTCATCTGGGTAGTCATAAATAGTCGTTCTGCTCGAATGAATACCCTTTGCTTCTTTTAATATATATATTGTGATCTTTTTGTTCGTTTGAAATAGAGATGAGATAGATATTATGTTGTATTATTAATGTGTATTGATGTAGTATGATGTATTGTATTGTGATGTGATGTGATATGGGATTAAAAAGAGTGTTGAAATAGATATTTAATTAATATAGAGTATAAAGCTTCTTTAAAGAAAATAGTTTCTAGTTCATTTCATTTTTTCACTTTCATTTATATACTATTGTAAAGATTTTTATTCTATTTCCACTTTCATCTCATCTCGTCTCATATCTCATAATTCATTCATATCTGCCTGCCAAAAACGAACGACAATCCAATCACCACACAGTCCCCCCCCCCTAAACCAAACTCGCTAGACCCCTATACAAACTCCCTTCCTCCTAGTCAATCAGAATCTTTCCCTCCAATTCCGAGAAGTGATTAAAGAAACTCTCAAACAATCTAATTCCATGCTCGACATCAAAAGCCCCTCCACACTCTCTAATACTATGCATACTCAGCATTGGATTACCTAAATCTAATGTCCTCGTTCCCAGTGCTGCACTTAACATTGGTCCAATAGTACTTCCACAACTACTATCATTTCTAACAACGAAAAGTTGAAGGGGAACACCATTCTTTCCATCCTTTGAATCCGCGCTTGGTTTGGCTTTACGAGCAATTTCTTCTAGAAGGACTATACCAGGGGAATTAGTAGCATAGCGCTGATTTGCGTTAATTTTGATGACTGTTCCCTTGTTCATTTCGGGACGATGATCTTGTTCGTATTTTTGAGCATAATTGGGATGGATGGAGTGAGCCATATCCGCAGAGATAAGGAAGGAAGATGCGAGGGTTTGCTCATAGGCTGTTGCAATCTCCACATCAGATTCACGATGTACCATATCGTAGGAAGAGCTTGAGCCAGGAGCTGTAGTTGAGGCGGGGATGACGGATAAACGTCTGAGGACGGCGGGAAGAAGATTAGAGGCGGCTCCATGGGCAGATGTACTACCGATTTCTTCGTGGTCGAAACAGGTAATAAGTCTAATCGATGATTCATCATCTAAAGCAGCAGAATCCTTAACAGATTCAATAAGTCCTTCGACACTACAGTACGTCATGCCCAAGTTGTCCAATCTGCCCGAATAAATAAGTTCATTGTTCAATCCACCCAAACAAGCTTTTTGTGTATCGTATAAGATCATTTCGAAATCAACGACATCATCAATATTCACCCCAGCATTCTTTGCAATCAGTTCCACAATGTATGGATGATGTCGAGTGGTCATGGCTTGCAAGGGTCGGTATTCCTCCGAGTCTTTATTTTCCTCAATCAGAGTCGGCCCGTTCTCGCTCGCTCCTGTACGATTTAACTCGGCAGCCACAAGACCGGCAATTGGGAATAATTCGGTCTCTTTATTCGGATCAAAGCTTGTGGCACGATTAAGGTGTATGGCTAAAGTGGGGATGCGGAGAATTGGTCGATCGATCTTCACCAGCTTCTGTACGAAATTGCCATCTCCATCTTTAACCATAGCTCTACCAGCGATACTCAAATCTCTGTCGAACCAAGATGTCCAGATACCACCCCCATATGTCTCCACACCCACCTGTATAAAGCCAGAAGCTTGTTTCTTCGACACCGGCTTGATACGTAAAGTAGGGGAATCGGTATGAGCACCAATCATAGCAATTGGGTTACCTGCCTTCCACTTCTTGCCAATGGCGAAAGCGACAATCGAAGAAGCATTTCTCGTGAGATAATACTTCCCTCCGGGTTGTAGACTTGTAGACCAGTTATCTCGTTCCTTGATCTCTGTGAAGCCCGCTTTGGAAAGTCGTTGGATGGCAGAGTGTACTGCATGGTAGGCTAAATAGAATTTGATGTTAGGTACAACTGCAGAGATAACGATGAGATGGTATTGATAGCTTAGTTAACTTACGACCTGGTGAAGCATTCAGGAAATCGAGAAAGTCATTTGCTTTTGCTTCAGCAGTTGATGGAGTTCTGGCTGGCATTTTGTATGTGGATGATATATAAGATCTCGAGAATACTGTAGGAAGTTTAGATTTACTTATGAAGAAACAAGAAGAGGGAGAAGAAGAATAAGTGACAGGAAAATAAATTGATGTCGAGGGTATTTTCAACATTAGATGGTTTCCTCCTTCCTTTGAATTCACCTGTAGAAGATTAGGTGGGACATTTTTGTTTGAGGTGTTACTTGCCCGCACTCATCAGCACCTGCCGGTCCGCATGGTGGGCGTCCATGTGTACCAATCAGAAGCCTGCAAATCAAGTCACTACCTCCATTCTTCTAGGGACTTTCTTATCTGAGTAAAGTGTCAAATTGATAAATGAGCCACAGTGGCTTGAGTCGTTCTGTACGAAGTAGACCCACTTTTGGAACAATTGATTTCAAGCTCTACTCCGGACTCCGTACAATTCTTGATGATTGAAGAAAGAATAAAGAATGAATGAAATTCTATGAATGGACCCTCGTGGCCAAAATTAAGAAAAATCGGAGACATCAACAGGGTATATCCCTGCTCCACATCCTTGAATGGCGGCTTTTCGTCTTCCGGTTCAGAGTTCGTCCCCAGTTACACATCAGATCTTGTTCTGCTCTGTTGTGTGTCACTTGTTAGTTAGCAAGCATAGGATGAATTCGTGTTTGCCAGCGATTGAGAGGTAGGTGAGTAGGTGTGGTGGTGTAGGTACGTATGTATTATGAATTGACTTGATGATTGTCTAGTAGATATATCTACGTAGACACCTACTGATAGATACTAGCAAGTATTTGATTAGTCACCGGGATTAGTAGTCATTTTGCGTAGATAGTCATTTGAATCACATGAGGAAGTATTCAAGTACTGGGTCCTTGATACTTTCGAGCGAATGAGGGAGATGAAAAGTAAAGTAACGGTAACTTTAATATATTGCGATTGAACATGCTATGGGGACGGCGGGAAGTAAATAAAGTTGAGTCGATGGAGTTGATAGAAAATGAAAAGACCAGTACATACTCCGTAAAGTGTCCCCTGTTCCTGCAGACACCCCAAAAATTCAAAGATCCCAATTCGATGGCAGATATCACGAAAAAGTTAATATTTCCCGGCATTGAATACCACTAAAGAAACGCCATGAATGCAGCCATGTTGACATTGGGTTTAAGACTTCTATAATTTATTGTGTCTTCTGATGAATTCAGTCGAGGAGAGAAGATGAGGCTTCATTGCTTGGGGGGAAAAGATAAAAGAAAAAAAATAAGAGAAAAACAAAAATATCGAATGACTGAGGAGGAATTGAATTTGTTTGTGATCGTGATCAAATCCAAATAGACCAAACAAAGGAAAGTCATAATTGAACATCCGCCTGGGCAAACTCATTGAAAGTCGTGACATATATTGATTGGATGAGATGAGACGAATTGGGGATATATGGTGGTACAATTGCAGTGCCTTGCTAGGTATTCTGACGATCATCACTTCCCCCAGCTCAGCCCATTGTCAATGCTTCAGTCTGCCTCATACCGGTAGCTCCGTACATCTGTACATTTACGAGAGTGACCAAAATGTGAATGTGGTTTGAAAGGATTGTATGTTTTGAAGGGAAAACGCATCAGCTGAGGAATAATTTGATAAGTAGAGGTAGGTAGGGTAGGTAGTAACTACGATGTAGGTGAGTAAGTATCATGACATTTGCCTATTTCGCCATCTATTTGGCTACCTACCTACAGTAACAGTTTGTTTTAAGAACAGCTTCAAGGTTGATTCTAACACACCAAGGCTTGTCAATGGACTGATGGACAACTTTATATCGCCCATCGGGTCAATGCAGCATTACACCGTGGACCTGTAACTTATTATAGTGCAGAACCCTAGGTATATCTATCTGGTCGAGTCAATCAATTGCACCAAAATCAGAAACTCATAAATCGAACATTCGAAGGAGAGATGGGTATCTCCTCGGTCTGCCCAATCAATATACTTGAACCAGTCACCGACATCCATTAATTTTCGCTTTCTTTCTTTCTTTCTTTCATACTTTCATACTTTCTTGTCCCAGTCAGACAGCCTCAGTTCTAAACATCCAATTGACCCCATGACTATACTACACGATTAATGAGGATTGGAATTTACGTGTGCCATCCATCCATGCTAAGAAAACTATTCGTAAAATATTACCTGATTTAGATTTAATCGTTCCAACGTTCAACTAAGGCCGAGCCTTTTTAGCGGTGGGCTTTGCAAGATGGAGTTCATGGATGATAACGATTCGATGATTTGATGATTTGATGATTCGATGATTCTTGATTCGTCGAGGGAAATGTACAGAGTAGAAGAGAGGTGAGTAAAAGGTTCATGGGTTTCATCCTAGGTATGTATGTATGTATGGATTCATATTCCACAAGTAAATCAAACATGCTGATGATGTGAGCGGTGGGGAGAGAAGATTCCCCAAATATTCGAAGCAAAGGCATCAATTGAGACCGGTATGTTTGTTTCATTGACAAGCCCATTGTGGGTCTTTTTCTTCTCACACAATCAATCAAATCAAACCTCTTCCTCATTTAGCTACCGATACCGATTGCTAGGTAGATTACGAAGCTTATTATTAGTCCGGAGGAGGGTAGGTGTACTGAGTACTGATCTGTAGGGGAGTTGTAGGTGGTACTAACTTACTACTAAGTGAGATACTATTAACAAATAATAACATTTTACCAAAGTAAGTCGATAAGAAACATCAAAACATTTCAACGGGAAACTTTCATCGACACTGGCATCAGCACCCGTAGCAACTTTATTTCTACACCATGCAGGGACGCATGTCATTTGAAAATGGATAATGGATTGATAGGTACTAGGTAGGCACTGTAGAAACCACCAATTGGATCCTTCTCATTTGTATATGATATATCGGTGTATACTCTGTGTGAATATCGTTCATTCATCATTTGCAATACCATGCTTCGTACAGACGGATGTACGTACCTACCTACTTACCTACGAGTACTAGTCTCCTACACTCGTCTCATTTGGTAGGATTCGTGTTGATTCTCTCACAAGATCATTGGGCGCTTACTGCTCTCCAAGCCGATTGATCTAAACTTACCTTCCTAGGTATTGACGTATTGATGGATACTTGGTACTTGGTATTTTCCTGTACCATTCCAATTATCTTCAAAGCAGAACAAACACTTGGACTTGCAACAAGATTCGCGTTGCAACTTAACAACTTTAATCTTGGTGGAAGAAAGCTTGAATGGCTTGAATGGCTTGACTATTGCTGAAATGAGTTGTGACTTACACACAAACTAATCCCATTGATAGATCGATCATTTCTCTTCTCCACTATCAATACCGACACATCCCTCCCTCCAAAAGTGTGGAACCGAACAATGCTTTTATTACTACTACGGAGTACTTGACCTCTTTTTCTTCTTCTCCCCACAAGCCTCTGCCGCTCGAAGAACAACATCAACATTTTTATATCTCTATGCCCATCTCGAGGGGATGCTTTTCATTGACATGTAGATTTCCCCGTTTGATCTCTTCTTGATCCTGTGCTACAATTATCGGTTCCATATTGTATATCTTTCTCGAGGATTTAACGCAAGCAGCCTCACCTACTTGCTACGAACTAACTAAGTAAAGTATTCAAGCATCAACAAGGCACTAAAATTTTATACCCTGCACAATCGAATCTAGCGTGGTCATTTCCAGCCCAGCTTGGTATCACTTCTTTGCCCTTGCTATTTCACTTGCATTTCACTTCCCGCCCACAACCATCATACATACACATACCATCCTGTACGGACTAGACATTTTGAACAAACTTCCCTACGAACGACACGAACGGAAATTCTCATATGGACTGAGAGTAAAGCATACTCAACTCAGTCCTCCACCCCCCTATCATAGAATATTCTTATCTCAAGGTCCATTTTTTGGCTTTGGCTTTTGGAAAGAAGAACACAAAGACGAAATTCTAATACGCTTCGATTATCGCATTGTCATTCGTCATTCAAATACTTTTAGTCTTCATTCATTCACGCAATCAACCTATCGAATGAACAGTCAATCAATTCATTGATTCACCGAATGTGTTGGCTTTCTAGGGCACCTAAAGGCAGTCAACCTCGATCAAATTAATTTCTCCTACCCTACCTGGACTCTTTTTTTCTTCTTCTTCTCTTTTACTTCAGCACACATATTTGCTATTTACAGCCTCATCCTTCGACGACAGGAGTACCTACTTGTCATCCCTCCTTCATCTGTCCGCCAATCCCTATCCGATACCTAATTTTCGATTCTCGTACACTTCAGAGTGCGTCGCAAACGAAGGCACTATTTTCCAATAGGAACTTCTCATGGAACACAAGGTCTAGCTCTATTCGAATGTAACTGTGGCAGCCTGCAGCCATTTTACGGCTCGCCGCCTATTGTCAGCAATCTATAGAACCTTCAACCTCCCCCGCCTGGTGCAAGAGCAAAGCAGCTTCAATTTCACCACTTTCCTCAACTAGTACCGTGTACTATTTACTATACTTGGGTAATCACATACCATATTTATTACGTCGATCGAATCTTATTAGGTTGGTGGTCTGAATCAAATCCAAGTCGGTCCTCCTCTGCGTAGGAGAGTGGCCTTGCCACACCAAATTCCAAGATGGCCTCAAATTTTCCACAAATGGGTGGTGCGGGCCAAATGATGCCACAACAACAGCAGCAGCAGCAGCACCAGCAGCAGCAACAACAACAACAGCAACAACAACAGATGCAGCAACAAATGCATATACAACAGCGGCAACAGGGACTGACTACGCAGATACAAAATGCGATATTTCAGAGACTTCAACAACAAGGACAGACGCCATCAGGCTGGCAGGCGCTGCTACCGCCTCAAGAACGTATGGGAGGGATTTTCAATATGTAAGTTATTTTCAGCCTTCATGATTCCAATTTTTGTGATTCATGTAGTGAAAAGTCTTGCCAATTAGCACATGTACTACATAATCACGGACAATCGATACTAATTTTTATACAGCATTGGTGCTCTACGGATTCTCGCCCAAAATCAAAATCAGCCTGGAGGGATCCCAAAGTTACTCGAAATTGCTGTCAAGTTCGAGCAAGAGTGTTTTGTTGCTCAACCCGATAAAGTATTAGATGATGTTAATGATTCACTATTCATAGCTAACGATTCCAGGCTTCCTACAAGAATAGAATGAATGAGAAGCAACGTGAGTTACACCAAGCTCGAATGCAATCCCAGCAAAGCATGCAACAACAAGTAAACTCGCAAGCGCAGGCCCAACAGCAGATGATGATGATGAATCAAAATGGTATGCAAGGCCAAATGCCGAGAAACATCCCTCAGCAACCTCCTCAACAAGGCTTTCAGCACCTTCAGCATCAGATGCAAGCGTCGCCATTACCACCTCAGCAATCACAGGCCATGCCGAACGGTCTACCAAATGATGCCATTTCGCAAAACATGCCTCAGAATGCACACATGCAAGCGAATGGTATGCCAAATCAAATCCAGCACGGACCTGGCAGACCTGTAAATGGCCAGCCCCAATTACAACCAACGGGGAACGATGCGGTGGAAATTCATCAGGAAGCAATGAAAATGTTAAGCGAAGCTCAAGAACATGAGAAGATTAACATAAGGGCGAACTTACGAGCAAAGATGAGTCCAGCGCAAGTCCAACAGCAGGAGGCCAGTGGGTCGGACATTGCCTTTCTATTGTTTCGCCAGCAAGCTACGATAAGATGGCGTAACCGTCAACTTCAGATGGCACAAGGACAGGGTGTTCCTCAAGGACAGCAGTCTACAATTCCTCAGCATCCACAAAATGGCCCCGCAACGGCTCCTATGATGCAGCAGCAGAGGTCTATGAATCCGAGTCCTATGAATGGTCAATCGCAACCACCCACAACGATGGGTGGTGGCCCAGACTTCAATTCCTTCTTGGGCAACATGGAGAACTTGATCGGTCAGCAGCAGCAAGCGGGAGTGTTGGCCCAGGAAGCAGGTCAAATTGTTGTACCCGTCAGCGCGCCCAGGAATAACACCCCTCAGCCCAATGTTTCCATGCCAGGTCAAGCAATGAACATGAACGAACAGCGCTCAGTTTCGAATCCGATGGCGAGAGCACAGGCGCAGCAGGCTCAGATGTTCAACGCCCAACAGTCACAACGTATCCAGCAGCAGCAGCAGCAATCACAGCAAGCTCAAGCTCGCGCAAATGCGGCCGCCAAGGCACAGCTGGGTTTGCAGGGTCAGCCTGGCGGAATGGGCTCCGGCCCAATGCCTTCACAGCAGAGCCCTGCCATGAATACGCTCAACACCCCTTTAAGGACACCACAGCAGATGGGTCATTCTGAGGCGGGTGGAATGAATCATAACCCACAATTTGGTCAGCCCCTAGATCCACGTTTTCCCCCAGGTGGTCAGAGAATGTTTGGTAACGCCATCCATGGATTCAACCCCGCAATGTTTCGGGACATGGGTCCGGAACAACGACAACATTTTGCATCTTTGCCACCCGAAAAGATGAATGAGTTTGCCAAGACCTGGCAAGCTCAGCAGCAGCCAAATCAAATGCAGCAAGCTACACAAATGCCAATCCAAGGGAACAATAATCTACTCCGTCCAGGACAGCCTGGCCCACAGGCTGTGCAATTTGCGCAACGACAACATGCTATAAATCAATTTTTGATGAGCAACCCTGGACAACGCCCTCCTCCATCGCTCTTGGCCAACTTGACACCGCAACAGCAAATGATCGTGCAACAACAAATCACACAGAATGCCATGCAGTTGCGAGCTGGAAATGTATCTGTAGATCAGAGACAGGTATTGCAGCAAATGGACAATATGGATATCCCTGCTCCGTTCCTTACTAATCCTCATATGGTTCAAGGAATCCCTCCAGAAATCAAAAAGTGGGGCCAGTTAAAGCAATGGGTTGGCTCGACTCCCGCCATGCCACCGCAGGCACTCGAGACCGTGAGGGGTTTGCAAAAGATGCACTACATGCAGCTTAGCCGGCAAAGACAAGCTGCACAGCAGCAGCTCAACCCGATGGGTAACCCAGCCCCAATGGGGGGTCAAAATCCCATGTCTATGGTACCTCCCAGAATGTCAGCTCCTGTTGCCCCTATGGGCCAAAATCCAGTTCAAATGTCCAATGGGATGAATATGGGCCCTGGAATGATGCGACAGATTACACCTCAGGACATTTTAAACATTCGTAATCATCACACCGGTAAATTTGCTAACGCTAGTGATGAACAAATCCGAGCATTCCTAATGCAAAACCAAATAAAAAGTATTCAGGCAGCCCAACAACGCCAAGCTCAAATGGCAAATATGGCGCAGATGAATGGCCAGCAGCTACCTCAAAATGCCCAACCAGGATTACCAAACTCGACCCAGATGACTACTTCTCAGCAACCATCGGGACAAATGCCACAACAAAAGCCAGCTGTTTCAGTACCAGAGCCAGCAGGCCCATCGATTCCCACACCTGCAAGTCGCCCTCGGCCTCCACCAAATAACAAGTCGACAGCCGGACAAAGTTCCTCGCCTGCTCAACCAGCTAAAAATAATTTGAAACGGGCTAGCAGCGATGATGTCGTAGAAGTTCCCAACCCTAATGGGCAACAGCGCCCAGCGCCCGCACCTGCACCACAGCAGAGAGCTGCGCCCAGGCTCACACCAGATCAAGTAGCCAGACTTGATCCAGAGCAAAGGAAAAATTATGAGGCTATGCTACGTCAATCGATCAACGGAAGACAGCAGGCCGTCGCAGGCAACTCGGAAGCGATTAATAGGAAACTCAAAGAGTTTTCTGCCGAAGAAGAAAAAGCCATCGCGGAGAATCCTCTTCCTGACATACCCATGGATGCAGACACTAAGAAAAGCATGGTGCAGGCCTTGATACCTATGCCTGCTCATCTCTCAAACATTTCACGAACCATAGGCAAGTGGTATCACCTGACTCGTGATGATGCCCGAGCCAAATTATTTTTCCGCGCGGTAAGTTGTGAATCTAGTCAAGCAAAGACTTCAGGGACAACGCTAACGTTTTTCAGCGATCGCGCTTGGCACGGCAATTCAAAGATCCCAAGGATATGAAAGAGCTCAAAGATACCTTTTCAATAAGGCTCACTGACGTAGAGCAAGCTCGAACATTATTTACCGCAATCATCATGGATCTTAGCAATAAACATCCAATGTTGAAAAAGAGTGGTGGATCTTCCGATCCTCAGGGGACATCAGCCATTTCTTCTACTGCGTCAAACGCTCAAAATTCTGAATCAGTGCCTCTCAATGCTGCTAATCTACAACAACAACAGCAGCAGCTCAACAAGATGCATCACCAAAGATCAAACAGTCGCAGCTCTCATCCACCTGCAGCCCCTACATCGTCCCAGCCACCATTTCCCTTTGGAGCTTCATCCCCTCATGGCCAGCCTAGATATATTGGGAAGCCACCCGCTGTCACTCAGGAGACCCTTCATATTCCTGCGCGCAAGAAGCAGAAGCCAAATGGGACGCCAGGCCAAGGCACTCCGGGATCCACCTCCTCGCCCCAGATCACCAAAGTCCCCTCGCCTGAGGTCAAACGTCAACAGATTCCAGAACCGAAAATCGCGGCTAAACCAACTTGGCCATGTAATGACGAGGTATGCGAACGTCAAAATATTGGATTCGAGAGTCAAGAGGAACTCTCTCGTCATACTCAAGTCGAGCATAGGTTACCAATGCAAAACCCACAGAAGTTTGCCGAGGACTTTCTTCGTCCAATGTTAGGTCTAGATTCTCAAGACCAATCGAATGCAGCAGCATCGACTGTGGATGCAGCTACATCATCGAAGCAGGAACAGACACCAAAGGTTGAAACTATCACTCCATCCACTTCAGTTGCTACCCCCATGAATCGTCAAATTTCAACGAACAAGCAGAGTGGCACGGTGCAGGGTAAAGCGAAGCCTCAGTCCGACTTGGCCACGGATACCTCCAAGTCCCAGAAAGAGATTAGCAAGGAAGATTCAAATCCGCCAGCTCAAGAAGTTATTGTTGATGCTTGGGCGAACGCAACTATCGATCCTAATGAACTTGTCCGAACCTTCCAACCATTCGAAGGCGGAGCTGGTGGGGCCATCTCTGATGTAAATGTCTACCGATCTGTTACACCCAATGATACGCCAGAGTCGAGTAAGGACGGTGTTTCAGAGCCCACTAGTGATATCTCTGAAGGAGTGAACTTGGATATTGCCTTGGACGTTTTTGACGATACATGGTTTCCCTTTGGGCTAAGCGATACCGAAGCCTTGGTGGACAACCATACCAATTTTTATAATGCAAACATGGCGGAAAATTTAACGATGTTTAATGATTTAGAATTTACCAACCCTCCACAGAACTGGGATGACATGGAAGGCAAAGTAAACTTTGATCAACCGTTTCAGTTCAATGTAGATGATCAATATTCTATGGATATTGTCTAGTTGAGCGTATGGGGTGTTGTCACTGAGTTTTGGAAGGCGTTTCTGTGATGGAAAGGAAAATACAGGGTATTTGGAAAATCAATGAGATGATATACCAATGAAAAGCACGGCGTCTTGGGATAAGACTATTACGAGGAAAGGATGGGATATTTGCCTAGTGATTTGTTGATTTTAGCAGGGCGTTCAGTGGGATGAAAGAATTCTTTCCTTTACGGGAATGTGCTTTTTGTTATTGCCATGTACAATGATTCTAATGGACTTCTTGAACAAATATATATTATAGTATTTTGATTACCTGAATGACTTTATTTATTCTATCGTGTATAACATAAATGTTATCATTATTTTTAATGAATATGAGTTAATATTACTTGTTTTTTTTCTCTGTTGAAGTTGGAAAAACTGTCGTGGTGTTGGATCTGATCTGCATGATCGACATTACGGATTTACCGTACCGTACCGCATTCACTCCCCTGTCTGCAGGAAGGAAGGACCACCCAGACCCTGATCTTCAAGGAGTAGCTCGATAGAGCGAGTAGCTTTCGATGACGATACGATTATGCGGTTGCGGTTGTAACGGGTGGGTGGATGGATGGGTGGTTGTATTGTTTTGTTTTGTTTAGGGGGGATTGCTTTGGATTTGTTTAGAGAGTATAGAGTATTTATTGTTCATTACCTGGATTTTTCGAACAGGGGGATGGATTTGTTTTGAGGTTGGAGGTTTTGGGGTTTTGGGGTTCTGGGGTTTTGGGGTTCTGGGGTTATGGGGTTATGCTATGCTTCTTGTTTGGGGATTTATGTATGCTGTTTGGGTAGGTAGGTAGGTAGCTAGGTAAGATTAGCATGCTATTGTGCAGAGGTTAGTTAGTTAGTGTATTAGTGTATTATTTAGTATTGATATTTTTGGAAGGGGTAGGCTTTGTTTGGTTGGCTAGCTAGCCCCTCGTCTCATCTCATCTTATTTTCTAGTAAATGTGTAAATGAATGTGTAAAATGTAAAGGCGGTCTGGGCTGGTTGGTGGGCGGTGGCAGAATGTTTTGATAATGAAGGGAAGGTTTGTGGGGTTTCTGGAATTGAAATCGCGTTTTTGAGATTGGGATTGGGATTGAGATTTGGACGCGATGGGGTTGGTGGTTTGATAGATGGGTGGATCAATAGATTGGGATTTTTTTATTTTTGAGGATTGCTTTGGGATTGGGATTGTGATTGTGATTGGATGTTTGGAAGTTTGGTTTTATTTTCATTTATTTATTTGTTCTTTTCAGTACCTTATCGAAGCGGGCTTTTTTCGTTATTACTGAGAATGTGATTGATGGTTGATGGTGGGTGGTGAATATTCATAGTGGGTTGACGTTAAGAAAGACGCGCAGGAAACTACAATACGATACAATACAATACAATACAACACAATACAATACATACAACCACGAACACGCTATTAATTTTCAAACTTTGCCAATTTTATTTTGATTCGATTGTTTACTTTATTTTACCTTTACTTCAAAGACTTTCTTCTTTATGCCTAGCCAACAATGGCTTCTCCGAAAATATCAACTTCGCGTCGCGTCTTGGGGGATATTAATTCCAACATCAATACCTCTGTCCATGAACCTCATCATGCATCTCTCATTTCCAACACACGAAAAATATCAGCTGGTGATAAATCTTCTAAGCCCATACTTGATGATCAACAAAAGGTGGGAGGTTCGGCAATAGAAATCCAACAGGAGAATCGTCGCGAAATCAATTCAGATTTTCAGGTTGAAGGTCTCAAAGTGGGAAAAGTGCATCAAGGGATATCATCTCATGATTTGGAAAATACGAGAATTGCTACAGTTGATTCGTTGAATTCTGGAACATCACTTGGCTTACTAGATGCTAAATCGATGCAATGGGCTGGTGAAAAGAGAAGCTTCGCTGCTACTGAAGATTACCCAGAAGAGTTTAGTGCTCGAGAAGGAGAAGGACATAAGAAGAAGAGGATAGAGCTACAGCCTCATGAGGAATTTCACAAATCTACCACTACGCAGCAGAAACACAACTGTTCACAATGCAGTCATGTAATCCTTGAGCATGGAATATGGACAGAGAGTTCTGGTCCACAAGTTTACGGTTGCGACCATGACAGTGTTAGAGAACGATGCGTATGTATTAACAGTTTATATTTGTGGATTTTTTGCTAATATGTACTCATAGAACTTTCATGGAGGAATTCAACGCTTATCTCAAGTAGAAACCTCCTTCGCTTCTCCTACATCTTCCTTCTCCACAGTAGAGGTAGAAGATATTGATGTCACCGTTGTTTATTCCCAAGCATCTAAAATTACCACAACCGAGGAAAATCCCTCCAGATCCATCACCGCCTCTACCACAAGAAATTTCCATACCTCAAAATCGAAATCCCTATCTCGAGAAGAAATTCGACAAGTTCGTCTTTCATCACCTGTTCTTTAACTATGAAAAAAGCTAACCCCACTTCGTCAGAAATCCCAAGCACTACGACTCCGTCTTTCCCTTGCCAATTACAAAGTAAAAACAAATCAAATTGATCTTCCACTTTCACGTCTACAAATTCATTCTACATCACCAGACCTCCCTTCTCTAGCTCATCTTCGCGCAAATCCTTATGGTGCCAGTGCGGGTAATAGAACACCGCTTCCTGGTGCTCCGACATTGATTCCAATTATTAATTTACAACGTCCCAGTTCCTCGAGTAGAGATGGAAATATTTACGTTCGAAGAGATGGAGAGAGGAAAAATATTAGAGAAGAGAATTTGAATGAGGACATTCCTTCCAGTCCTCCTTTATCGGGAGATATTAGAAGAGATTCGGCTGTTTCTTGCATTTCTTTTACTTCTAAGAGTTCTACCTTGAATTCGGGCTCCGGACATGCACATCCATATGCATTGACATCCTATCCCAGAGAGTAAAATATAGATGGGTAACTTGGAAACTCGATGTAGAAAGTGGGAGTGGCGAATGAATGGTAATAGGAAATGGAGGTTGTAGATGTGCCGGGGAAGATTTGATGATGATGATGATACTGGT